CACGTACACACGCACGCATACGTACATACGTATACAAACGTGCGTACGCATAATCCGACACGCATCGATCCATTGTGTAACATTTTCAGTATTATTTCTCGTACGATGAGCTACGTTGTGTAGAGAAACTTTAGTTTTTTTCTCTTAGATACTAAATCGATAAAAGGAAAAAAGGAAAAAAACCACATCTTTTCTCTGTCAATAAAAATTGTTCTTAGGACCATTCATTCTTTTTTTACACATATACGTATATATCTGTGTAACAACCGTCATTCTTTCACCATCTCGTCCCCCGTGAAACGCGATGGTCCTCGTCGGTTCGCCCTCCTCGACCGTTTTTGCAAGGACTCGGGTGACCTCGTCTTGCAATTTGGTCGAATCCGCTTTTGCGCTACGATGGCGATCGGGGACGCGGCAGAAACGTGCCTTGGTTTATTATTTATATAAGGTTTATTATTTAAAACGCCGTCTATCTCCGTCTTCTTCTCTCTCCGGGTTTTTCGGAGCGAGTAACCACCGGGAAAGCGGAGTTTGACCAAGGGACAAATTCACTCGAGTCGATCGGAATGTTCACTCGTGCAGCAGATGGCTGAGACTGAAAGTTGCAACTGTAGGTGGATCTCTCCTTCGATGAATCTCGCAACTCTGCCCGTATATCCAATGGGAGAAGTCGTTTCTTCGTGATTCTCAGAGATCTATCCTCTTTTACAAAAGGATCGTTAAAGGTAAGTGTCGCTAGTTTTAACATACAATTGGCAATGATGAAGCTATTTCTACCAGAACGACGTCGAAACGACAGGTTTCTGAAGAAGTACGTCACAAAAATGTTGGTCCCTTCTGGCACTACTCAGCGTTCGTTAAAAGGACGGAATCCATCGTTGTGTAAATTCGAGTTATCTCTAATCTCCAAGTTATCAGTCATCTTTGATCGCGTTCGGTGGTTACAACATCAATACGCGGAATCGAAGTCCGCTCTGTATAAAATGTCGAATTGAAACGTATTAAAAAGTATTGACATTTTGAATACGTCTGAATTCTGCTATCTGATCCGAAGAAAGGGATTGAAAAGTATTAGTTCCCATTAAATTTCACTACGCTAAATGCGAGACGGTAGTGGTGAATGCTTCGCATTAAAAAGGATTCAATTCACTTCAAATATGCCTTGCATTCAATCGCAATCGATAATTTTCAAACGCGAACTTTCGCATTGAAAAGTATTCACTTCTTCTCCTAATTGTTTTCGGATTCAGAGGCATACGAGATTTTCACGTTCTACTCCCCGTAGCGTTGAAAAGTATTGACCCGCGATCCAATCCGAGATTTCCGCGAAGCAGAATTCACGACGAAATCTCGTGAGTGCGAAACGATACTTTTAAATACGACATTTTATACGGGGTATCCCGAGGCTGAGCGAAGCGCTCGCGATTCCAAGTGGCGGTGTTTTCGCTCCGAGCGAGTCTTCTTCAGGGGTGTTTCAGCCCGGGAGACTCGTCAACAAAGTCACGTCACCGGGGCGGATACCGGCGGCGGAGTAATTACATTAGTACTTACGAGCGATACTTACCCCGTGTAAGCCAGTCGAGTGTGCGCGAATCGATGCGTCGACATGGATGTTGTATACACGGGAGAGAGTCAGCTCTCCTCTCCTCTCCTCTCCTTCCGTCCGGCTACGTGAGCCGCCACGTAATTGCGCGAATGCGAACCGCGGAGACGGTCCTCGTGAATGAAGTACGCAGGAGTACACACCACGTTTTCGAATGGACAGTTTCACAATTTTATTTTCACTTTCGGAGAGTCAAGTTTTTTAAACATCGTGAAACACACAGTTAACACATTTCGCGTTCCTCCTTTGCATCTCCTCTCTTTCCGACTTTTGCTCTCTTTCCCTTCGTTTCCCTCCCCTCCTTCGACTAGTCGATCGATCCGAATGAATGAACACGCGAAGCATTTACGCTACATCAAAATATATATATTCGCAGAGTCGCAGCAGAATGTGTGTGTGTGCACCGGCGGCGAATAGTACGTGTGCTTGGTGAGTGGATAATCGCATATGTGTGTGTGTGTGTGTGTGAGTATGAGCCGCTTTCTTCCTCATTTATTTCTGACTGTGTGAATGGCAGTGATAGAAATGGATATATCAAATTCATGCGTTACGGCTATTATTTTATACTTATACACTACACGACGTATATCTATATATATTATATATATATATATATATATGTATATATATATATGTATATACAGAGTGTCCCGGAACGAACGGGTCGACTGGCAAGGACGGACTTCTCGGGGAGTGAACCAGATCGTCTCGAACAGCCGACTTTGTTCTCTCGCGCGACAAGCATCATTCTGCAGGGAGCGGGAAAGACCGAGATAAAACGAGGCCATTTTTACAATTTCGAGAGCGCAACCGCTCCGACGTTCGACTTCTCCCCGACATTTCCGCAAGCAGCCGCGAGGAATCTGTCAATGACAATCGATCCGTTTATTTCGGGACAAGCACCCTGCGTATCTAGGTGGTAACTCCGATGGTTGTTGAAAGTGAGCACCGATAACCGTTTTTGTCCAAATGAAATTTTTATTAAACACGGTTTTCTTTTCTGTAACATCGAGGACGAATTATAACATAAATAATCATCGATCAGTATCACTTTTTTTCTTCGCGCTCAACAATGAGTCTATTTAGTAACACTGGAAGATAATAGAGTTTGGTAGAGTTTGGGGGCGGGGGTGGGGGGGGCGGCGGCGGTGACGGCGATCTCTCTCTGCTCTCTCTCTCTCCCTCTGCCGAAGGTGCATCATATCTATCTTACTCTCTCTCTCTCTCTCGCTCGCTCTCATGCATCTCTTCTCTCACACACGCGCGACTCGCTTCGTTTCTTTCGCTCGCTCTCGCTCTCTCTCTCTCTCTCAAACACGCGACGCACACATCTCTTTCGCAATACAACAGTTGAATATTATTTCACCGTTCACACTCAGCTATACGAGGTTTTGGTATACAATACCTAACCTAATCTAGCCTAAGGTTGCAATTGTTTATATAGCGTGAAGCATCGTGGTGGTATATTATGTATATACATCGCACGCGCGCATTGCACAACTACAGTTGAATTCCCGGATTATCTCCTCCTCTTCCTCCTCCTCCTCGAAGGTCTTTCTCTTTCCGTTCTCGCTCTCCTTCTCCCTCGGTTTCGCGATCGTAGGCTGATAACGGGACAATGCGGGAGAGACTGGGATGTGGGGAGGAAAAGAAGGATAGTCGATAGATGGAACAATTATGTTTTTTTTTTCACGTTGGTATGCGCCTGCGTTTCCCCCCGAGCGTGAGGTGACCGGAACGAAGATCGCTCCCGTTGCGACTAAGCGAGAAGAAAGGAAAAGAAGAAATGATAAACGAAGCACCGTCACCACCGTCACCACCACCGCTCCCCGGATCGCGCTTGCGTTCTCCTCCCTTTTTCTCTTCTCTCTCTCTCTCTCTCTCTTTTTCTCATTCTCTTTTCAGCGAGGCTAGCGTTGGCTCTACACGAGTTTCCGGTAAATCGCGACTTCTCTTCCACGCAGTTTGGAATTGCTGCTCCAGGAGCCCCGTCCTGGACGCACGGCGAACGCCTAATGTGCCGTTCCAATTCCAGGTTCCGCTTCCCTCACGCGAGTGTCACATGCGACGTCTCAGCCTGAGGAGATCAGAATCAGCATCAGAATCGGAGGAAGGCACATCAAGTACTCGCTAGTACGTTCAGATCACGACCCCCGCTCTCGTTGCCGACGATGTCGAGTTACTATTGTTGTTTCCCGGTGAAATCCTGTGAAATAGGCGCATTTTCGAGGCGAGTTCTCCGTGTCTTCCTTCGGTCGGTAGATTGAACAGAATCGCTTCTGGGTCTTATTCTTTCTTCTCCCTCTCATCCCTCTTCCGCGGCCGGAAATGCGCCTACACGTTGAGCTCTGTATGTGTGTGTTTCTTAGGTAGAAAATACTGCACAGTCGAAGGTGGCAAGCGGGCGCTCCGAAACTGCTCCTCTGCTCTCTCGTCGTCTTTCCTTCCTTGCCTGTTTGTACGTACTCGCGAACTCGTGCGTGATTAATATGGGGAGAGGTGGTGAGCCGATCGTCCGGCCGGTATACGCGCGCATGAAGAGCCGATTGTCAGCTCCCAATGACAATCCACCCGACGATGCTCGACGCGTATTCGAAACTCGTCTGCCCCATATGTAACGTGATACGTTTGTGATGCGTGGTGCGGTCGATCGGCCGGTGTGTATCGTCGAGCCTGTCGCGAAGAGCGGCACGTCTTCTCTCTCTTTTACTCTCTTCCCTCTTCTCTCTCATCTCGCCGTTGCAAACGCCCGCTCGCCTGAACGTATACTGAACGAACTTAATATTGGAATGTACAAATTATCCTCCGTTTACATGTCGTTATCATCGTATATTTATATGTATATATCTTCCGTCTCTCCTCCGGTAGTCGTTGATCTCGCTGACTTGACTGATCGTTCTCAGTGTGTGTGTGTGTGTGTGCGTGTGTATATGTGTGTGTGTCGCTTAAACTGGTGATACAGTATATTTCACGATGTTGCGTTTCTCGGCACAAGCGAGCTTTTCACACATGTACAAACACATATACCACACACATACACACACTCATTACTTCATACGACGACATTCACGGTCATGTGTGGATACAATATGGAGTCGGCATAAAAGATCTCGTTCGGCTAATCGGGGATGTGTTCTCCACCGCTGGCCTTTCGCGGCTTCGACGACCACCCGGTTAAGCGAATCTCTTCTCTACCTTTTCGTTCTCTCTCTCTCTCTCTCTCTCTCTCTCTCTCTCTCTCTCTCTCTCTCTCTCTCTCTCTCTCGGTTATACCTCTTTCTCTCTTTATCTTTCTCTTTCCTCGTCTGATAATGCGCCGCGTATCGTTGTCCATGAATAACCGTGAAAATGTGAAGTCCAGCCGCGTTCAGCGGCTCTCAATTGACTTAATACTATCGTGTGTATTCACTGATTAACTATTCGCATTCATACCTCTCTCTCTCTCTCTCTCTTTCTTTATATCCACTTTCCCTTTTACTAAGATCTCATCCACCATACCGTTTTTCGTCGATCGATTTTCGACGTTGTATTAATATTTGTATTCACGCGAGATCTTACCCGGGATGCAAATCTCATTCACTCACTCTCTCTCTCTCTCTCTCTTTCTTTTTGTGAATATTACGCTGTTTTACCACACGCAAATGGTGTGTCGCCTACATTTGTGTACTTTTATTCCGATGATATAATTTTTTTACTTTTTCTCTTTTGTTCGCTCACTCACACTCTCTCTCTCTCTCTCTCTCTCTCTCTCTCTCTCTCTCTCTTTCGTTTACTGCCTATGCTTGCCGCTTCGATTGCATTTTAATATGTATATGTATATAATTGTGCTAAATATTTTTGTTATCAATAACATGTTTTTTATCTCTTTATACACTCAGTAGAGCCGATTAACTTCAACTGTTAATTCAATGTCTCGTTACTACACTACAAATGATTACTATACAGTGAAAGAGAAATGTTCGGCATGGGATTAAATGGGAGATCTCTATTTTTCTCTCTCTCTCTCTCTCTCTCTCTCTCTTTCTCTCTCCTTTCTCTCTACATACGTATCCATTCCCCTGTCGCCCGTTTTTGCCGTTCTTTTTCTTCTCATTTTTGGCTATACAATCATCGCTCCCTCATAACGCTGCGAGCGTCAGGACGCGCGCGTCGTGTCTCAAACTCGAGCGGTAAATTTAGTCAAGCGGGCGGGCATTTCTCGCCGATCGCGCAGCACCTTCCAATAAACGTGATTATGCGATTCGTAAGATGAGTAATGCGCGGTGTGGTTAAATGCTCGGGCTAAGATAGATCGACTTCGAGTTTACGATATTCCAAGAAGGATGCGCGGGGATGAGCCGATGAGTGTGTGTATGTATGTGTTTGTTTGTGTATACACGTGTGTCTTCTCTTATCTCTTTTTTTTTCCATTTTTTTCGGTAGGTAGATAGGTAGATAAGGTAAAATGTATGTATGGTATGCATCATGGAGTAACGTGATTTTAAGTAAAATGTCAAAACAAGTTGGTTGTAGCATTATAATAGAGTCGGGAGCGCTGTTGGTTACAGGCGACATGTCTTGCATGGAGCCATGGGCAGGTAGAGACGCCGCTACTGACCGTTTACTTGGTGTACAAGTAGATGGCGACGATCAGACCGTAGAGACCTAACACTTCGGCGAAGATCAGTATCAGGATCATGCCGACGAAGAGACGAGGTTGCTGCGCGGTGCCTCTCACACCGGCGTCGCCGACGATGCCGATGGCGAAGCCGGCTGCTAGACCAGAGAAGCCCACGGCGAGACCAGCACCCAGATGGGCGAAACCCCTGATGGACGGGACAGAAGTGATCCATTAATGATCCGTCGAACCGTTCTTCTTAATCATCTAATTAACGACAACGGAAGCAACGACCGAGTCTCCCGGATGTGAGTCGCGCATCCTCTCAACTACTCTCAAGTACTTGAAGTCGCTGATGAAGCGATCGAATAGACAAGTGTGCGTGTACGACGGAAAGTCGGAACTTGAGATCGCGTTGCCGAAATGTCGCTTCATGTTGCGTTGCGTTCACGTGGAGATTCAAGTGCAACAGACGCCGGGCTGTTCTGTTCTTTCAAGCTGAATCGAGCTGCACCTTTTGCCTTTGCAGAGTGAAACATAAACATTGGAGGAAAGAAGAAACGAACTTCCCGGTCAGCGGTCAGCGTGGTACGGCTGGAAAGAACAGACGCGCGCCATGTTATCGCTTACACGAGAGGATACGTACGTAAACAGCTTATATGTGCCTTTTTCGAGAGAGCCCGCGATGAGGACGGCCACCACGAGGCCGTAAATGGCGATGATACCCGCCATGACAACAGGAATGATGGATTTCATGATCAGCTCTGGCCTCATCACGGACATCGCCGCGATTCCTGTGCCGGCTTTCGCTGTGCCATACGCCGCTCCCAGGGCTGCAAACGCAATTGATATTCCGTCATGCGAAATGAAATCAACGAGAGAAATCGGATAGTTCGCTGCGCGGGGCGTTATCCGTGTAACGCATGTCCGTCAACGGCGAACGTCCGTCCGGTCGCGACCGGCCGAACCAAGTTTTTTCTCTCTTTCTCTCTCTCTCTCTCTCTAGTCGTCACGACGAGACGCTCGCACGAACCTTCCTCCGCTCTCGATTCACACGAGGCCATTTCTTCGTGTTTACGCGCAGAGCGATTCTTTCCTCAGCGGGGGACGAAAAGGAGAGAGAAAAGAGAGAAAAAAGCCACCCCGCAGTTGGCCGCAGTTTCCGGCCGGGAAGCAATGAGTAGGCGCGTACTTTCCGGACACACTGTACATGCCTCTTGGCTGTGTTTTAGCCGCGAGCGTGCACGAGGGATTATCGATCGAGGCCCATCGAGGTGATAGACGGTCCTGCCGGAGAAGCGGACGAAAATAATATTCATCCCGAGTCGTTCCTCCTCCTCCTTATTGTCATCCTCGATCCCCAATCGATGATCGTTCCGCGCGAGATCCGGCGAACGACAGGTGTCCGCTGCTCTACCCAGCCCAGCCAGGCTGGAGATCGCAGTCACATGATTCTCACGTTGGCAGTCACATGACAATCGTTCAAGTCCCATCCCGTGAGTAGGGGGGCGTGGCAGCGGCACACGGTCGCCGTGCCTTTTTTCCTCGATGCCGTTTTCGAAAACGCGCCCCTCCGCACCCTCTCGCCGTCATCGTTGGTCTCGGCCTCGTCGTCAGCGACTGCGAATTAATCCGAGCTCAACGGAGACATCGCGATTATCGCAAGGCGGCTTATCGTGGCGCTAAGTACACGTTTCGCAGAGAACGAAGCGAACGAGCGCGAGCGAGCGGTTCCGCCAGCTGATTCAGCGGCTGACGTCCGGCTAGCGCGTAGCCCAGAACGAGCCGAGTCATGTCGCGGAAGACTCTCGGCGGAAATGCCGAACGAGCACAAGTCGAACGAGAGGTTATCACGTCGTCTCCGGCGCTCTGCTCGCGCGCCTAATCTTTGCTTGTCTTATTCTCCCCATCTCTGTCTCTCTCTCTCTCTCTCTCTCTCTCTCTCTCTCTCTCTCTCTCTCTCTCTCTCTCTCTCTCTCTCTCTTCACTCATGCTCGTCGTGGTCCCATTATTTCATCGGCGTTTTCGTCGACTGCGCACGACAGAGACAGGAGAAACCGTCTCGAGCGGACGGAGTCAATGTGTACATTTTCGTCGAAAACGGCCGCGACAAAAAGCGAGAGAGAAAGAAGAGAGAGAGAGAGAGACGGATAATAAGCGCACGCATCGATCGATCGCGCGACAACCTCGGACCAAGCAGGAAGTCCAGCTCGATCGATGCTTCAGATCCTTGCAATCCAACAAAGTCGGAGACGACAGGGGAAAGGAAGAAGGCGAGATACCGCGATCTCTGCGCGCGTTTCCAGCGAAGAAACTCGGCGGAGGAAAAGTGGCATTCGCGTACTGATCTCGTCGATGAAAAGCGACGTCCGCGGCGGCCGCGGAAGCGCCGTTTTATTGAATTTAGCGAATTCGGGGAAAATCATTAATTAAGGATCAATACGCGGCACGCGCCGGGACGTCCTCGCCGAGAAGACGGGAAAGAGCGAGAGAGAGAGACGGAAACTGTCGATTTCGCGGACGTTCCGCGCGATTGGCGAGTCGCAGCATTTGCACTCGGAGTTCTCGGCGGAAATCGGCGCAAGGAGCGCAGACGAGGAAACGGGTCGCCGTGCGGGCGGCACGACTCGTGACACTCACGAGGCGCATGCACGCATAAGCACGCACATTCCGCTCGCGCGCTCGTCTGTGTTCACTCACGGTCGTCCCTTTTCCGCGTCGCTTTTCCGAGACTCATAAAATTCTGCCGCCGTCTCCGCGCGCTCGCTCGCTCGCTCGCTCGCTCTCTCTCTCTCTCTCTCTCTCTCTCTCTCGAGGTCAGCATTACGAAATAGCTGCGCCCGGTCCGACCGCGAATATAAGTTTCCCCAGAGCGAGCGAGGACCGCGCTTCGTCTTCTGCGTTGCGAAATCGCGCGCGAGAGCGCGTTCCCTTCGAGTCGAGGTGCGGAAAAAGTGTCCATCGGGATAATCGTGCGACGCAATGCTCTCCGCCGGACGAGAGAACAATCGAAGCGACGAGGGCAGAACAGGCCGACTCCAGTCGCGACGCATGATAAGATAACTCATCCAAATTCCACGCAGCCTCTCGACGTCGATTCGCTTCTGCTCGTTTGCTCGCTCGTTTCTGCGTTTCGCGCGGCGCGTGACGTTCTCGGGCCGCTCTGCGACGAAACGCGAGCCTCGTCTCGAACGCCCCGAGGGAAACGCACCCCCGCAGCCTGCGGGGATCGATAATCCGCCGCGCGCCGCGACGCGCCGTGCCGTTCGCACACGATTTTCTGTTCGTCTTACACCGCTCTCTCGCTTGAGAAAATGGCGTGATACGGTACATCGGCGCCGTGTCGTCGTCGTCGTCATCAACAACGACTGCAACGTTGCGACGACAAAGTCGCACGGCGATGACGACGGAGGCACGATGACAGCGCGCGTCTCAGCCTCGTCAGCGCGATCGAGCGAGATCACGAGGCGGCCGAGCGCAGCCCCGGCGGACAATCGAGCACTCACCGGAGAATATGATGGCAGAGGCGGCGCCCATAACGCCGAAGAACGGCGCGTATATCGGGGCATCTTCCGTTGGCGCGCTCATTGTGGCTGGATTGGTCGCGGCTCGGCGGTCCGGTCGGTCGCGGTTGTATTTACAGGTTGCCGATCGTCGCGCGGAACGTCGAACGTACGAGCAATCTTCACGCTCACTCACTTCGCTAAACTAGTGGCCACTGTCAAATATGGCCTACCGGGGCACAGTGGGCACGGGCACGGGTCATGTGATGAGTGACGAGCGCCCCGGCGTGAGTGGAAGGAAGGTCGCGGCCGAGTCGCGACGAGTACGCGTGAGTCGCGCGGCGATTGGCCGCCGCTGGCGCGGCCGAGCGCGCCTCCGCCAATCGCGCCGGCCGTTTCATCCCTACCGGCTGACGTTGGCCGCGCCGATTGGCCGCGGCAGCCGCGCGCCACCGCGCAGCTTGGCCTGCGCACGTCGCCGTCGCGAGCACGCGACCGCGCGAGCGAACGAGCGCGTGACGCGCGAGTCAACTGAGCGGACTTTCCGCTTCCTCCGCGGCTTCCTGCCGCCGAATCTGCGCCGGAGAGCCGTTCGCTTGGCTTTTTGTCGTCGTCCTGGGTCCCTCGCGGCTTTCCCGCACCGCTTCGAGGTCGGTTGCTTGGGCGATTTCACGTACCGCGCGTGACGAGCACATGACCGCGTGTTTGAACTGTCGCCGTCGTCACCGGAAGGCGCCACTGGCGGAAGACTGTGCGGCGCGCAGATTTGGAGGAGTAGGGTGAAAACAGTGTATTGCTCGAGACGCGTATGCTGTGTGATAATAGAGTGTGATGACGGGACATGGCAGGTGATACCGGGGGCGGAGGAGGAGGAGGGGGAAGTTACCTTGAAAGGATTTAGTCGTTCTTGTTTCGTAAGAAAGATCACTCGATCGACTTTCTTACGTCGGCCATTATATCTTTTCGGTATGGATCACGCCGCTGTGGATGCGCATGTAATGGAGTAATGAGCATGAATGAGTTTTATGATGCCCGTACCCGGGAAGATGTTTCAATGAATGATTCGATGCGCGCTTTTACAGATTTCTACGATTTTGCTGGGCGTCCCGTCCCGTTGGATATTTCTTCGTCAACGAGCGTATCCAGCGCATTATTTGCAACTGTCGTTTTTCGCGTCGACGTTACCCTTCGTCGACGACGAGAAATCTTGGATCTTGAAATAAATGTATTTGCTCTCCTTTTGCAGTACTTATTCGATAATCACTCTGTATTCTTTTGAGATTGAGCAAATGTGTATGTATAGAGATGGGCGAGAGAAAGGAGAGAGGAAAGAGGCGCGTGGAAAGTGCGCTGTACAAAGTACAAGTTTGAAGCGAGATTCGTTCGCTTCGATCGAGCTTGACACGTTTAAAATCGAGCAGTTCGGGACGTTTCTTCGAGATTTCCGATCGGGAAGTTGATGATCGAAGAATGCATTTTGTTGCGAATACCTGTGACCGAATGCAACGTGGAATGAATCATCGTTTTTGAGAATGCAGTTGCAGATACGAAGATTTTTATCGTAAATCTCTCGGTACTTTGCGATTACGAATTTCTGCGAATCGATTGTGCAGCATCGCACATGAGAGGTATATCAATTGTATTTTGTGCTTCACGTGACACACTTTTTATCGAGTGTCGTGTAATCTTTGGTGGACGAGCCGACGCCTTGGCACGAGCACGTGACAAGAGGAGAGAAAGCCGTGTCGTCGCCTTCCAGCACTGCGACGTGATTTGTTAAACTGAACGGTGTACGAGAAGGTAGAAGTAACAATGTTATACAAGTACAGTCGAATCGAAACTGAGCTCGTGAGCCGGGAAGACTCAATTTCAACGCGAACTTGTCGGACGAGCCTTCAATCGCAAGTAGTACGACTCAACGGCGGATCAGACGGACTGTTATTTCTCAACAGCGCGACTGCACGGTGTGCCGGCTGGACTTCCGTCTGTAAATATAATGTCGAAAGAGATAAACACGTGAAAATTAAAAAGATAAAAATATCAAGAGATAAAATATTTGTCAAAAGATAAATATTCTTCCGACCCAACGAACTTTACCTAAACCGTGAGTGAGAATGACTATTGTTCTCAGACCACATGTTCCAATCTGTGAAGAAGGTAAAGAGCCAGAAGTAGAACGGAAATCCGCAATTCAACTGCGTTGAAGTGACGAAAAAACGATCGAATCATGATCGAAAAGTGAGCTTTCGTATAGTCGTTTCCCCGACACTTCAGCGTAATCGCGATCTTCTGTTCTGCCTCTGGATGTAATCTATCTTTTCCTAACATATTGTATTTCGATTCGAGATTGGCACATAGCGTGAAACAAGGATAACAATTCCACTTATGTAAGCATAAAACAAAGACAGCTGCAGCCGTCAGGCTTGATCGCGCGGCATATTCCAGCTAGAGTAGCGCTCGCTGCTCCGACCTGTTTTGAACAATTTTACCGATAATAAGCGAAAAAGCTTCAAGGCAGTCCGAAAATCCGAAATTTTACGTACGTCTCGAACTCGAGCGAACTCGTCGAACGAGAAAGCGCCGCGCGATCGTCCGCGAGGAGCGAGCATCTTCCAATCGGAGCCGGGCTGTCTCTGCATCGTGCCGCCATCTGCTGGCGCCGGCTCGCACGTTCTATCTGTAATAATGCGCCGTCGAAGAGTATCCTCGGTATCCCGTATGCCCTGCTGTATTCATTGAACGGCGCATTGGAGCGGCATCATTTTCCGAGGTCGCCGTAGATAGTCCCCCTTTTTATGTGAGTTCCGTTCGTCGCATCGAGCAAATCCCGACTCGATAAACGTCGCTCCTCGCGCGGAGAGCTCGTCGTCTCGTGAAGCAGCTTCGCCCGGGTGCGAACTACAGAATACGCAGCGATGGGCGTGGATGTCGAGGTTCTCAGGCAAGGAGATGGTAATTACACGTTCCATTTTTTATGGCCCGTCGAATTTCGTTATTCCTCTGTCGTGCTCTCGAGGTCTCCTCGGCGCCTCCCGATGCTCCGTAGATTATTACTCCCCGTGATACGCGAATTTTCATGGCGCCACGGGCCCGCGCCTCGGAAAGCCGCGGACGAGAGTGGTTTTCATGCGCCGCAGCATAATTTGCTCGGACAGAATTGATTTCGAACGGTGGAATTCTCCCCTCGATTCTTCGCTTGTCCCCGTCTCCAACCGATGTGACGTCGCGTCTTGTTTGAGTCTGACCTGTAGGCTATTTTTTATGTACGTTCTAGAACATTTTTGTATGATACTTGATATAAATATACCGGTACAAATGTGTGTGTATGCGTGCGTGGTGTGTGTGTGTACTGTGATGCAGTTAAATGCTGAAATATTTAAATGCATGCATGATCAACCTTATCAACTGCGTTTAATCTTCCTAAGTTACCAGATTCATGTAGATTAGTGGGAAAAAGAATAAAATACTAAAAATATTCAAGACTGCAAAGAGAGTAAAATGACTTTATATGTGTATGCTCCCAAATGTTACAGCACACCATTTCAAATGAACCTTTACTTGTGTATAGGTCAAACTTTTCCAAAGACTGGACAGATGGTGGTTGTTCACTATACAGGTAAATAGTTTGATACAATTAATTACAATATACTTAAAATTACACCCATATTTAGCAACATATTTTCAAAGTATTTGTATTACAATAGTAATCTGATTTTCTATACATCTCACAAACTATTAAAAATTTTCAAATTATATTCTCTTCATTAAGTTAATTTTTTTACAAACTGTCAAGCTTGCCAATTGTTATACTCCAAGATGTATATAATTTTTTATATACTTGTAACAGGTACGCTTGTTGATGGGAAGCAGTTTGATTCCAGTAGAGACCGTGGTGTACCATTTAAGTTCAGAATTGGGAGAGGGCTGGTGATCAAAGGCTGGGATGAAGGTATTGCACAAATGTGCGTTGGGGAGCGGGCCAGGTTAATTTGTTCTCCAGATTTTGCTTATGGTAGCACAGGCCATCCTGGAATATATCCTTTAGTACGAAAGAGATGACACATAAGAATATGAAATGGATTGGATCAGGGTTGGAAAGTAACTTGTAATGCTGGTATTTTGTAATGTTATTTCTTTTTTCTAGTAACAGTAATGAAGAAAAGGTCTTTCAAACTTAACGAAAAGGATAACAGAAATTCCAATGACTCATTTCTTAAGTAACAATAACAATAACAATTTATTTTTCAAAATAAACAATAACAGTGATAACAAACTAGGTTAGGTTTTTTTTGATAAATAACTTGTGATGAATTACTTTTCAAAAGTAACTTTTCCAACCCTGGAATTAGATATAATTGAGTACAAAAGAATCAACTATGTTAACCTTGACAAAGACACACTATTCCACCAAATGCTGTTCTTATCTTCGATGTGGAGTTGCTGAAAGTGGAGCCCTGAAATACCTCTTAGAGTGTACTAAACTGACCAAACGCATTTCAATATGAAAAACTTAAAAAAAGAAAAAAAGAAACGCATCAAATTGCATTACGTTAAGTAGTTGTCGCACGAATGGCACATTTCTTATACTCATGCCTTAATTCAATCGCTCGGACATTAAAGTCGCGACATGCGGTTTTTGCAAAGTAATATATAAATATATATAAATATATATATATATATATAAAACGACAACATTGTTTCGTCACGTCACGCCGTGAGGGCAAACAGTGTACAATTTATACAATGTATAAATTGCAGATCAACAATACCCGAACAATACTGCGTGTAGGTGTTAGACTGTAAGATCGTATATTATAATACGTAGTCTGATTGCATATGCACTCCAAGAGATGCTACTTAACTTGTGTACTTGATTAAAAACCGATTTAATCGTGTTCCTATGATGAGCGGTTGAATGAAGGAACCTTTTAGATACTCGCAATGTAATTTGTGTTCATTCCATTCACTGTGTATTTGGTAAAGCGAACTTTCGGATATTTTATACAAACACTGTCAACACTGTGAAGAACGTTGGCAATGCAGACAATGCAGATCTTTACAGGATAAAACACAATAAGATAATAAAATTGTTTTGCTCTGACAAAGTATACATACTTCTTCCCATATATGCATTATGCGACAGAAGCAATATTCAACGTGACGAGAACGTAAGAAAGCATTATAGTTTTTCTCAAAGCATAACATTTTTTTTTTTTTAAGTATAACGTTACTTACAAAATATTTCAGATAGTTTCTTTATATCTAAAAATATGTATAGTGTAATATCAGTCACAGATCTTTTACTGAATTCTTCCATGAAATATGCTGTTTCTTAATACACTATGACTCATATTCTGAACTTTCTTTTATTGCTAAAAGTGACTTATAAGCTTCCTGATTGGTTGTAAGCCACATTTTAGAATCACTTTTAGTGGTGAAAGAGAATTCAGAATATGAACCTATGTGAAAGGATACAGGCTATATATATTCTTTAACTTTAGACTCATAGTGTAATTTTAGATTATATAATTTAACTTTGTGTGTGTGTGTGTGTGTGTGTGTGTACATATATGTATATATGTATATATATATGTTTTTAACCTAAATTCTCTCACAGTAATATGATTAAGTAACAATGACAAATTTAATCAGCTTGTTGCTTAAAAATGCTGAAGCCATTACTCGTTATAACTTTGGTTGGAACTTGATTTATGCATATTACACTGTTCGTCTATTCGTCAAAAGCGGACAAGCATAGTTAACTTTTAACGACGATAAAAAATATATCCACAATTATACGAAACATAAAAACGTTTCTTCTCTATATAAGATTTAAATAATTTTCCCTATATATATACACACATAAATAAATTTCTAAATATAGAAACTATCTTCTCTTTCTCTCTTTCTGCTTATTGCTGTAATATATATATATATATATATATATAAGATCTAACAATGCGATGCTACGAGAAATACTAAGAGAAATATTGGCTGTTTAATATACAAACAGTTCCGGGAAATGAATTTCATATGCTGGGGTTTGACTTGGTTTGGTATCCGTCTGTTGTCCGGTCGTAGGAACTGCGTTGCGTGGATCAACAGATAAGGTGTTGAATATCTCCGACAACTTACTCTGCAGTACGTCGTGCTGTAAATCAAATGAAAATGTTCAGATTCGAAGTACTCGCGATTAAATTGTCAAATATCATAAGTGACATCGATGATCGTAAGAGATTGTTGGTACCTTTGGCTGAGTTTTCGATACCAAGTCTTGGAACGGTGCATTTCTGAAGAACTCAGAAAGTTGTATCCGCTTCTCCTCTTCCACTGTGTGATTGTTGTTATTCTCAGTTAAAATTCTCTTCATACTCTCAAACGTTAATTCTTCTCCGGGCAATTTCTGCCGAGAAACAATATTTATAACGTTTAGCGATTATAGTCCAGGAAACTGAAGACGAATCTGTCCGTTATTTAATTTAACAAAGAAGCTGAATTCACTTACTTTCTGTACACCTGGTGATGAACCTCCACTGTCCAGTTCCGTGCCTCCGGAATTGATGTCAGCCAATGAATTTCGTCCCGCATTGTCGACCCAGGAATGCCTATGTTGTAAGGAATTGTTGCTGTAGCCGGAGCCTTGTTGTAACTTTCCACTGTCGAGGCCAGCTCCCTTCAGGCATTCGCTGACGACAGTTTGATCGACCAAAAGAGCCGGTGCTAACCTGGACGTTAGAGCAGCATCGTACTGAGATTGTAAGTCTGGTAGCAAGTGCGGGCTGTCGTTCCGACGCGCCTCCACCACCTTAGAACAGAGACAATCAAATTAATTGGTTTTTACTTACAATGTTGTATGTTTACTACCTACCTTCTTCGCGTAATCCATCAGAGCGGTGATATTACAAGCGTACGAAATCAAAACCAACAAACTGATAACAATGGCGTGTAAATTAAATTTAAGCCCGAGATTAATTTGACCGCTTGTCAATGCCAGGTCTTGAAGGCTCAATACCAGCCTCAATAATTCCAAGACCGTTTCCTCGGAAGCCAATTCGATGGCGAGTAACGCCAATGTGGTGTAAATGGATTCCACATTGTCCACAGTGTTACTAGACAGCTCTAATGACTCGTACAACGCCAGATAAATCTCAGGACCGTGCTTCCGAATGAAGATCACGTCGGGTCGAGATGCTTTTTCGATGACGAGATCGAGTTCCGTGACGTTTACGCTGCAAAGAAGGACGTGAGTTATTGTACGTTCCCTTAAAGACTGTAATTGTTAATCAACATTCATCGTTAAATATTAAGGTTCGTATTAGTACAGATTTAAGGGACGGGACTTACGTCGGCTTGGCAAGCTTCGTAATATTCCGATGTCTATCGATCAGAGTGTGGAATATCTTCTGCACAAGAAGTCTCATCTCAGCGTCCGCCGCCAGCGACATTCTCAGCAACGGGTCCAAGAAACTCGGCGGGAATGTCGTGTTCAAGTGAATGGTTTGGTATTTGGTGCCGACCTGTGCAGCAAGAGAGAATCAATTGTTTGCATAACTCTAGTTTATACGTTGAAAATTTCGTGCGACTTGTACCTTCAGCAAAGACTTCAAGAGTATGCTCTGAAGTAGTACGTCTCCCTTGCCGACCGACACGATGCGATCGGGCTGGCTGTAAGGAACTTTACTCATGATGAACATCATGATTTCGATTTTCTGATAATCAGGAAGGTGATTCGCGAACTCTCCGAGAGCGTTGATGAGGGCTTCCTGGTACAGTTGCTCATCACTGCTTGACGATTGGTTTCTCGTTACACTAACCCGCAGATGAGACAACAGGGAGTTTATAATCTCCAACACAGACGGACCTGAGGGAGATATATGCTGCTACAAGAATCCAAGGACAATCGATCCAATTTCCATGTTACGCCGAGCAATTAGCACTTGTGTATCGACAGTATTCGCGTTGAATTTATTTAATTTTGTTGTTTTCGTGCACTCACCTACACTTTCACCCGCGGCGATTGATATAATTTTAGATAAGGTGTCAGCTATGCTGGTGCGAATCTTTGGGGACGACTTGGAATGATCGTCGAGATGCGTCATTAAGGCTTCTACCACAGTGTAAGAGTATTGCGACTGAAAAAATAGATTGAGGATATATTAACAATTGTCTTGTATTAATGTTCAAACATACAATCCAAACTATGACCTTGTTTACATCATTTAATGTGAAAATATCAATTACCAATTTTATATTAAATTAACCTAAACTGATAATCGTGATGCAACTATTTTGTACTAAATCGTATGATACCTCTTTAACGTATACTGTATTTAAACAATTAAGATGACGTAATATAAAATTATTCTGTTTGGGACGCGTATCAAACAATTGCTGTAAACGAGCATTGATTACACATACCTGGATAGAGAACATAATTATTCTGAAGGTATGAATAGCAAAATAGTTGGGGACCCACAACTGGTGATTATCCAAGTGTCTGTAATCGAATATTCATTAATATTTAGCCAGCATGATTATATTCACGCATGTATTTATTAATCTCTGAAGAAGAGATTTCGTCTTATACCTCAACACAGGTCTTATGACACATCTAATATGACCGAACGATGCACGTCCAATTAACTCTCGCATGCAGGTTTCTGCAAACTGCGGCGGATCTGATCGTTCCTCGGTCGGGCTGTCCGGTGTCGCTTGTTCTTTGTCGGCATATCTGCGGATACAAACGTTATATCAATATACATGCGCTTTACATGGTATTACAATGTACATATATATACCGATAAGTTAATGAATGAATCACCTCGAATTTTGCATGTTATATAGCAACGATGGTACAATCTTATCCATATGCACAGGCTCCCAGATATTCTCAACCAGATCATCAGAGAGAGTTTTTCTTACAACGCCCTGTGTATATATTAATACACAGATGCAATTTTTAAAGTACAAACTGTTACTCAAGATTTACAAGTGTGATTATATAAATATCCTGCATGCGTCATACCTGTAGTCCTTGGATTCCAGCAAGCCTAATCTGCTTACGTATGGCGGGATCGTCATTATTAGAATGGCACATAGCAGAATATTTTGATACAAAGAAATCATAACGTGTATGATAAGAAGGTGTATCCTCCTCAATATTGGCAAACCTGACAAACTAATGACATAAGATAAGTAGCAATAAAATCAATGTTATTCCATCGTTAACCAACCAATTAAATTTACAAGACTTACAGACTGTGTTGCTAGAATTTGCAGCTGAGGATCAGTAGATTCCAACAATTTCTGCACCATTTTTAGAAAGCTCTCAATAAATAGATTTAAAGTTTGTGCATGGCACGCTACCAAGAGCTGGTCCATTGCTTCCATAGCAATCACAACAAAGCCATTTCGTCTCCTGTTAGGATATTCTTTGTCAGAAAGAATTGATTCTTTAGTTATGGAACTCTGTTCCAGAGTTTCATAACTTTAATCCTTCAATCGTATATGTATAACATACTATCTGCAAGTCTACTGAATTACTACCAGTCATGATAGTAAAGTAGCCATTGAAATTAATTTCTTTAATCCTTGTACACATAGAAGTATATAATTATTTTTATATAACCAGGTGTGGCCATAATATAACTGCTTTTATTGCACACAATTGGTAAAAGCTAAATAAAAGTTAAATAAAAAAATTTTTATAGTGCTTTCTTGTGCAATATACCTGTAAATATCTCTAGAAGCTCGTTGGAATAAATATTCTCCAATCCTGTCCAACTTTTCAGGACTGCTCAACGAGTAAAACGTTAATTTCTCCATGTTATTTTTGATCAGGCCATCCTGACAAGCAGACCATTGTATCACCATATGTTAATGTGTAAAATACCGATTTTACATTCGTTCAATTTCTTATTTACCGCACAAATATCATAGGTTTTACCATAAATAGATTAATCATTTTGATCTGTGCCAGTCAAGGCCAGTGTCACAATATTGATTTATGCATTCATTGACAGATGAAGCTTCCGGACATACGTAACAAGGAACAAAATACATTTCATTAAGAGAAAAGAAAAAAACAAGGATATCTTACCTGCGGATTGACTGGAAAAATATTGTCAACGAGCCTCTTGTATCTCGGACGTAATGCAGAACAACACCAGCAACAACCTTATGAAAACGAAAAAAAAGATACAATACACTAATGTCAGGATCTGACGGCAATTTAAGCAGCACAATTATTCTCAAAGGTGCGCGTGTCATGTAGTAAATTTCACTAAAATATTAAATTGTAATATTTACCGAACATCTTTCTATCAGTTCTTGTCGCAGAATGACAGCAATGACAGCAAGTGATTAGGGTTCTCCCCCTCTCTTTCTCCTTCTCTCAATGTTAGCTCCAGGGCGCCTGTTAAGGCGAATCCTCAACGCTGTTGAACGACAGTGATTAGAGATAGGCGCGATGCTACTTTGATTATTTTGGCATCGATTATTTTTATCTTAAATTGATTATCATATCTTATTTTTCAACTTCATTATTCACTAAAGATAGTTTCTGGTTGATATTATTGGAATCGCTACTAACAGAGTTTACGACTCCAATAAAAACTGTAAATTCCTTATTAGTTCTCCAAATAACGAATAAAGAGCATCGGCAAAAAATGCCCGTTTTCGGTACCTCGATTTTTGAAACTTTTTTTATGCCAAATGGTTACTTATGATGACCCAAAAATCCCTGCAAAATTTCAAGATGAGCATATGCCCCGTTTAAGAAATATAGGGGGTCAAAGTTGACCATGTCCAATTAAAAAATATAGCAGCTTCACATTTATACTCCAATAATAATGTCCAAAAAATTCAGCCGAAATGGTTCTTTTAAGACTTTTGGCTGCTGATTACGAATCTGAAGTCAGATTTTAAAAATTCAAAATGGCGGGTCCAATATGGCGGACGAATTTTTCTTAAATTCATCAGATTCACTTGAAACTCGTTACTCGGGGGTTTTTGGGGTCGCTGGTTACGAATCTAACGGTTAACTAACTTTTAACCAACACTAAATCTTCTTTGTCACTACATTTAACCTACTTTGACCCTACATAGAATCTATTTTGCCCTACAATGGACCTATTTTTCCTCACATTGGACCTACATTCTACCTAGGAGCGGTGAGCGTCGAGCGGGCTGAGTTTCGTTTTAAAGAGTTCGGCCTAGAGTTACGAAACCCTGAAAACAAAAGACGATCAGCAGATCATCATTTCATTAACATTCCATTCCATCCTACATCTTATTTATATCGTATATGCTTGCGAATGTAATAAAATAAAAGTTTCAGTTTCGAAAATCTGGAAATATTGTTGTTTGAAAAATATTGTTAATGATAAATGGTAAGATTTTTTTTGTACTCTTTGTTTTTTCATGCTAATGACTTAAATCTATGCTTTTTTGTTGATTGGATTTGGCATTACGTCTTGCCTTCGTTGGTTGAATTATTACATCTTGCCTTTATTGGATATGTAGGATCCGTCATTTTGAATTTTTAAAATCTGATATCTCTTTCGTATTTGGTGAACTCCAAAAACCCCCGAGTAACGAGTTTCAAGTGAATCTGATGAATTTAAGAAAAATTCGTCCGCCATATTGGATCCGCCATTTTGAATTTTTAAAATCTGACTTCAGATTCGTAATCAGCAGCCAAAAATCTTAAAAGAACCATTTCGGCTGAATTTTTTGGACATTATTATTGGAGTATAAATGTGAAGCTACTATATTTTTTAATTGGACATAGTCAACTTTGACCCCCTATATTTCTTAAACGGGGCATATGCTCATCTTGAAATTTTGCAGGGATTTTTGGGTCATCATAAGTAACCATTTGGCATAAAAAAAGTTTCAAAAATTGAGGTACCGAAAACAGGCATTTTTTGCATGGGGCTTGCCGAGGCTCTTTCTTTTCTAATCCTTCTTTATATTTTAAGCTCGTCTAATATGGTTTTAGTCTCGATTAAATATAAGTCGAGGTTGATGAAATATTATAGAAGCCGGTAAATTGTGGTTCAAGTCTCGGCTAAATTTTATGAAGATTGATAAATTATAGTTCGAGTCTTGACTAAAAGGCAGATTTTAGCTGAGACTCAAACACACACAATTTCAAATATCGCGAAAAATTTATAGGCTTCTATAAAATTTGGCGAAAAATAAATCAAGCGTTTTTTATAAACTTTTAAAGTTACATTAGATAGTACTCGTATTAAATAGGATAGTGTCACATTCGAACTTTTTTCCTCCATTGAAAATGCCCCAAAAAATTGCTTTTATGAATAAATTGCTTTTCTTCCATTTCAAGTAGAAAAATAAAATACATTTTCTCCTCGCGTATTAAATGTTCCTCGTCACCTCTTGCAAGCAATTGCAAATGCGTTTTATGTTATGAAATACTCAGCACAATTATGTAATTATCATGTTTATCACCATAGTTGTTCGGGAGAGATAACATATAATCATCGCATATTAATATTCTTTATTAACAAAACTATAATTTATTAATGTAAATAATATATTCTATACAATTTTTATGATGATAGTATTAAAGTGGTGAGACTATTTTATACATAAACTTTGTTAAAATTGTGATTTAAATATAAATGCGCACGAACATTAATCTTTAAGCAAGTTTTCGTCTAAAATTAAACATAAGTTAGAAAATATTCTTAGATCGAGAATTTCCGAGTGATCTTTGATAAAAGTATCACGACAATTGTAGTATGATATTTTAAATAAGTGACATTTTTACTTTTATTACAGCATTTTATGCTTTGAGTTGTAATTTAGCTCTTTCAAGCATTGTCAAGGTGCTGTCGCCAATTCTTGATACCTTTTCTTTAATTTTCCTCTTTAAGTTTAGCCCTACATCGTATAAGTAATGCTATATCGTCTACAGACAAAAAGTTGCTCACACAATCATGCTACATCACCAGGCGATATTCAAAACAAAGAATTGTGTGAGCGCTTGCGTATCCACAAGTATTACGTTTCCTGATTTCGATCTGTACACTAGGAAAAATGTATTGTTGCGTGAACCAAAATTTTGTTGTAACAACAAAATAATTTGGTTAAAATATGCCCAACAAAACTGTTTAGTTCCTATAAACAAATATCTTGCTTGATTACGGTTTGTTCGTATAACGTAATACTTTTGTTATAACAACCAAAAAACTTTAACTATATGAATTTTGTTAAAAATACTATAATTTCTTCTTAATATATAAAATCTAAATTTTAGTTCACAGAAAGACAAACAGTATCCATTATTTTAGTTTATATATAGTTTTTGTTATATTTCAGTTATATTTTGCTTTATACAGTTAAAATAATATTTCGTTATTATGTAATTTTTATGGGTAAAATAACTAAAATGCTTAATTTTTATATATAAAATTTAAGAACAATATCATTTGGTCTAGAGAACAAAGCAAAAAATATATTTAGTTGGGACAACTAAATATTTTGTTATATAAAACAAGATATTTAGTTGCTATTAAAAAATGCTTCAACTAAACAGTTTTATTAAAGATACTAAATTTTTCTTCTTAGTGTACTTATGATTTGTTTCCGTAATAATGAAGTGATAATCTAGACGATGTAATAGAGCTCTAAGCTGGTGAAATTGTATTTATCCTTGTTTACTAGTAGTTTACCGCAAATACAAGCAATAATATCAATAATATAAGCAAAAATGTCACTATTTCTCCGTCAAACGACTCGATTAATCCGTTTGCATAACTTTACCATGTACAGCGAACGGTTCGCGGACATATAATCAGAGACACATAATTAATAATAATTACAAAATGTAACAGAGTATAGTAAGAACAGTAACTATAAAACTACTTCTACGTTGGTAAAAAGGACTCATCTTTTATATCGTTTTTAAAGATGTCCCCCATCGTAGCGACGATATAATCGATAATGAGCTCTCCGTTAATTTTTTATAATGAGCTGGTGATGCTTCGGTTCGAATCGTTTATCAGATTTCTCGCGTCTAAATCAGTTATGTTTGTATCGATTAAATTTCGATATATAATTATACGCTCATGAGGGAAGTATACAGAGCAACCGTCGTAATCTCTGTATGGTCTTAAAGACGCGAATCTGTTCTTTGCATAAAACATGGGCTTCACGGGACCAGGGACCAGTTTTTTCCTTATCAAATCTATGATTCGTAGCGCTTTACTTTCCGATTTAGCCGTTATTATCACCGGACACTGTTGATCGCACAGTGCGGTAATTAATTTTTTAGGTCTCCCCCCCTTTTCGAACTCTACGTCGAATACTACAACCACATGCGGTTTCTTATACACAGCACTACGCGTATATTCGTGGTAAAACATGAACAAACAGTTGTAATTCAATTCCCTGCCACATTTTGTGCATTCCTCGCAAACATCGATGAAGTTAAATTCGTTTCTCGATATCGTCGTCCCTACAATTATTACCGTTATCTTGTTGCTCATACCAGGAACGTGTAGAAGTAATTCCCAAAGTGACAAGTTCCACAGATCCATAATGTCGACATCGACAACAATATGTATGACGAACTCCTTGCTCAGACTCGAATTGTTGATGAGGTTTGTCAGTTTTAATCCGTAAAACAATGTGAACAGCTCCGACAAGACATCGCTGTAAATGATGTGCGTGAAGGACCAAGAAGCATTCTCCTTCCCGTTTCTGAGCAATGTTGCAACTAACGATCCCATCTCAAACAAAGGAATGATTTCCATCAACGGCAACAGCTCCGGAATGTCTCGGTATTGATCCCCGTTGGCGCATATCTTATCGGTGTCGAGGCAAATCCTGAGGAAGAAACAATCGTGGGAATAATTATGCAATTTGTGTTTACTGCAGACGTTGACGGAAAAGCATCTCTCGCAAACGGTCGTCACGTCTTTCTGCGTATGACAGACGAGACACGACTTCGGGTAGAGGAACATTTGTTCCTCGTACGGCAGCAGATCACGATGCAGCTGCTGCGTGATGTTCTGTATGTTCGCCATTTTGAAAGCGACCCACTGCGAATCCATCAGGCCTGTCGAGCACTGCATGTTCTTCATAGTTAAATTCGTTTTTATTATAATGTCGCAGATCTGGCTGTGTTCGTTCAAGTGCATCGCCTGGTGCAGCTTGCTGCAATAGGTGATCATGCGGCACGAAGGACACGTCAGCAAGTCTTCCTGAGACGTGCTCTTGCAAACGTGGCAGACGTTCGGATTGAAAAATTTGTTATACTTTATGATCGGTAGCATTTGATCAGTGTTTAAATTTAGCAGCTCCGCCATTGTTCCTAAAACAATTTGTGTGATTCGCGTTCCGAGATGTTGCGCTTACCGCACTAACGAGATATTGACGCAAGACGTGATACCTCAACAGAAGGGAGAAAATTCAGTCTACACCGAGGAAGATGTCGATCCGACGACTGTTGGAATAATACTAACAAGATGTTTACACGTATTTCTGCCTGTCTGTAGAATTGTTGACTGTTGTTTCCAGCTTGCGAGAGAGGTACAACGGAGCTAACGAATTTCCGTTAGCGATTTTCAAACATCGCGGACAAATACGAAACCTTCCAGTAGACCGTACAGCAGCAGACGTACAGTGTCGTTTTAAAATTTCAATTGTTCAAATTAATTTCTGCGTAACTTTCTTTCACAGGTCATCGCGCAAGGTTAATGCGATTTAATTCAGATTGTTCAGAATTTGCGAAAAAGGAATTTGTCGAGTTGAATGCAATGTTATGTGCAGACATAAACGATATAAATTGAAATCTGCTTGGCTATGTACTATAAATCACGCAATCATTATACTCAATCATATCACGCAGGCGACAGTTTTCGGGAGAAATAATGTATAATAATAAAAATAAATAACAAGTAATAAATAATAAAATAACCACCGTGTCACATATATGCTTCATTAAAAAGAAAAATCGTCATTTATTGATGCAAACAGCCTATCCTATATGTACAATTTATAACGGTGTCATTAAAATGCTGAGATCGCACATGAATATCGTGACAATTTGAACTTAGACGTAAGCTCTCGTCTAAAGTTAAATGATTATTACGAAAGAACACACATACGCGCGCTTAGGGGGGCGAGAATATATTTTGCTGGTCTTTGTGCGACCGGGGCACTTATTACGGCAATTGCAGTGCGATACTTTGTAACAGATACATATGTAACACTTTTTGTGTTATTATTATAACGTCTTGGATTTACGATTTAATCGTTTGCAGTAATTGATAATCTCGAAGATTCACGGTCGTATTAACAGGGAGGGGGGAGGGAGCGGGGAAATGCCGACCTCTAATTACTTCACTCAGCAGGCGGAAAGTCACTGGTTTGAATTGGATCGTTCGCAGAGACTAAGCTTGAATATATAATTAAATGATAATTAGGAAAATACACGAAGCGAGAATCGTGGTTTCTGTGCGGTTGATAAGATGCGAATCTGTTTCTCTCATAAATGATCGGTGTTAACGATGAGCCCAGCACTTGCTGTATCTTCCTCACGTTCTGTTCCGCTTCAAATAGCTCCCCAGTCGTTATAAGTAACGGGCTTTTTTCATCCATTAATGTTAGTATAGTTCGTCCGGATATTTCTTGCATAAATTTCGCGTCAAACGCCACAACCACGTTCGATTTCCTGTAGAATGCACTATTCGTATATTCGACGTACGACATATGCCAACATTCATATTGGAGTTCCCTCAGATACTTGTTGCAATCCTCACAGACCTCGACGGCACCGGTTTGAGACGCCGGTATATTTCGTCCTATCATAATTACGATCAAGATTTTATACTCCCCGAGGATATGTAAGAGAAATTCCCAAGTTTGTAAGCTTCGCAAGATCTCGATGTCATTGACTATAATGTGCACGGCGAAAAGCTTGATGTGCGAATTGTAGAACAAATTTGCTCTTCTCATCCCGTAGAACAGCGTGAGCGGCTTCGACAAGATGTCGGTGTAGCAAATGTGCGCGAGGCTCCAAGAAGGTGTGTTTCCGTCGCAATAAAATAACTGTTGGATCAATGAGACCATGTTATCGAAGGTGGCACTTTCCATAATATGCGAAAAGCGTGGTAACATCCTTTGGTACTCGAATATCTCAGGATGTGAGACATGCATCATATTAATTTGCATGCAAATCTTCAGGTTCTCGCAATCGTGGGGAAAATCTTTTAACGCGTGATCAGAGCAGCTGTTAGCGGACAAGCAGCTTGGGCAGGTATCGGTCAGATTAATATTCGTACGACAGGCGAGACACGATTTTTCGTAGAAAATCATCTGTTTCTCGTACGGCTGCAGTCGACGATGCATCTCCTGTTGGATGAATTTTATGTGCTCATATTTCAGATCCAGCCGTTCTTTCGTAGTCGTCACGTCACGCCTGCAGAACGTGTCCATTTGATTTTTTAATTTTACCAAGGCACCGCAGATCTCGTTGTGCTCGTTTGCGTGCAGCTGTTTGTGCTCCTCCTTGCAGTAGAAGATCATGCCGCACAGTTGACACGATATCAATTTCCATGGGAGTACATTCTTACAAACGTGACAAACGTTGGGATTGAATGATTTGTTAAAGTTTGCAGTTGGCGGCAGCGGCGGTAATATTACTTGTCGCGGTAACATTACTTTCCTAAAACAACGTGTCTGAATGGTTCACACATTCGGAAATCTCCTACTTACAGTGTTAATTTAGAAGTACTGCGTGAAACTCGATACCTTGGCGGAGGTGAGAAAATTCCGTCGACGCGCTACACTTGTCGATTCGGAGTCCGTTCGATGTGTACTAATGATATGTTTACAAATACATTCGCGTGACTTGAGAATTGTTGACGATTCAACCTGTCGTTAAAGTTGTAATGGCGCATGAACGCCCGTTAGCAATGTGGAATATCGCGATTAGTTTCGAAGCGTATGACGATGGAAAAGATATTTCATGTCGTATTTTCATCCGCATTTATTATAAGTTTACTACAACTTCATTATTTCCCACAGGTTTTTCTTCGTCACAAGTATCTCAATTTTATTAAAGCTTTTACTTGTGTCCAGTTTTTGTTACACGTAGGTGTCAGTACTTTACGTACAATCGTTCTTGACATAATTGTTGTGCATTTGTTAAACGATGCTCGCGGTGTATCTGTCTAGTCGACTGCTGAACCTTCTGAAACAGAGAGATGTTCCATATAAAACAATATAGCGAAAAACATACACAATATAACACGATAAAATAATTTAAAATATAAGTAATATTGAAATAAATTAAAACGGAAACAAATTCATGACAGATATCGGGGACTGCTATTTATATTAATAATAATAATTATTATTATTATAAATATTTGAAATGATTTCTTGCTTTCAACTCAGCACTTTGCATCTCTTTGATTTAATTATTCAAGCATATATTGCAACCATTTTTATCGAGTTAAATATATTGAGCTAAATATATTGCTGATCTTTTTATTAATCTCCCGATATCCGGTGTTTCACTTCGATTAATTATCTCACCTTCCTTCATGACTTTGATGAACAGATAAACATGTTGAATTATAATTTATTATTCTCCTTCATTTAACTCTTCGTATCGCGATGTAATTAAGACCATACTTTTTTCTTTACTTCCGCTACATTTGTCATATCGGAATGCAAATACAGACGTCAAACGTTCTTATTTACCGTAAGAAAGATCGACCAGCTGTTCGTCGAGGTCATTGTCAAGGTACAAAAGGGTGATGGAAATGATCGTCTTCATTTCCGATTTCATCTCTAATTTGATCCGCATCGGTCACCATCCAACATGCTGCCTCTAGTTGCTGTCTTGGTGCTCGGCGTTCTCGCGCAGCGTAAGTAGAGCTGAATCGCATAATTCCACGAGACACCTGCAAAATTACTTCTTTGACGGACATGTCTCGTCTCAACTTGATTTTGAGTCGAGGTCTCGAAAGTCCGGCACTGCTGTTAGACACTGTATACCTCGAGAAAATTGTATTTCGGGAGATCGTCTTGGTATTCGGCTTTCGGTATTACGACTTTTCTGGAGACTGCTCCACCTCATGAATTTCGAGAAAATGCGTGTCCATCGCTTCACAGAGATATTATTCTTGCATATCGTTTTGCAGAGACATTCGCAGATGAACCCGAAGCGATTGTCGGTGGCATGATGGCCGACCCGGGTCAGTTCCCTCATCAAGTTAGCTTGAGAACATCTTATGGCAGCCACTTCTGCGGCGGTAGCATCGTCAGTAAATGGACCATAGTGACCGCTGCTCACTGTACACAAGGATTAACCGCAAAAGGTATAACAGTCGTCGTCGGGAGCTTGAGGAGCAACAGCGGAGGCGTTTCGCACAAAGTTAGAGAGATAATAGAACATCCTGAGTACGTGCATGCTCAGAAGGCCTCCTGGAAGAATGACATGTGTCTACTCATCGTAAGTTGATATGCCATTTTTTTTCGAATATGCGCGGGCGAAGTTACAAAAACGATGCAACACGACTGTCTCCAGCTGTAGATTTGGCTTAGAAATGTTGTTTCAAGCACGCGATTCTAAATCCAAACGGACTCCATTCGTTCTCTCCGATATATTCCTAAAGACGTTCTCCGCTTTCCGTTTTACGTTTATGTATGTATTGAATAAAATACACAAACACTTCTATTGTTGGGCACTCACGCTTTACAAGTAGAAATACTTAAAATATTATACGAATATGTAAATATGTACAAATGTATATGAAAATGTCTACGGTTGAATTTTTGCAGAAGCGTGACGTATGATAACTTCTTCCCCATTTTGTTCCTTCAATTAAATGCTCGCTTTGTCGATTTCAGCTCGAGACACCATTGGAATTCAACGCCTACGTACAGCCCATCAAACTAGCCACCGTCAGTCCTAAAGTCGGCAAACCAGCCATCACATCCGGATGGGGTTATACGAGAGCAAATGGAAGAGTTTCGCCTGATCTGCTTTGGATAAACACCTATATAGTGAGCCGCGACAAATGCGCGAAAGATCATTATGGCCAACCGCTCGGCGACTCTCACTTGTGCGCATACAAGGAAATCGGACGGGGCGCTTGCCAGGTGAGTATCTTCCCAGTAGATATCATTTAACAATAGCATTAATGTTATAATTTCCCACTCAATGATGTAACCGTTACATATCGGGTGGAAAATGATGACATTTAAAATGTAGTCGAATGAATCAATTACAGTCCACTTTATAATTTTGGTTTGAAGTCACCCTCAGTGTCCATGCAGGGTGCAAATGCTGAAAGACGGAGATTAAATGTGAACATCCTGTTCTCTTTCTGTATTCTACAGGGTGACAGCGGCGGCCCGCTTACGGTTGACGACGAATTGGTCGGTGTCACTTCGTGGGTTCTCCCTTGCGCTCTTGGTCGATCAGATGTCTACTGTAATGTCGCCGCAATGAAGTCGTTTTGGCAACCGAGGATCGTATATTAAATAACTGAAGTATCAACGGCTCCGCGCACTGACGAAAAGGCAACACGCGATCAAGACATCAATCGCGACAGTAGCCTGATCCATCCTCGTCGGTCGCGCGCTCTTAGAATAAGCTAAAAAGGAAAAGATGGAAAATAGAAAAAAAATATTCTCGATGTTAATTCACTAATAAAAACTGCAGTTAGACTCATCGCAATTGTCGATTTTTATTTATGTCCTAACGACGATGCCATCTCCTCAACATTGCTGCCCTTCTGAATATTTCGAGGTCGTCCCACTCGAAAAATCGAACGACAGCGAAGCCGCTCAGATTTGAATGACCTTTCACTCACTCGAATTTTCATTGTCGCTTTGAGCGAAATTTTATTTTTGCTGGAGTGATTAAATTCCAAGAAATTTGTAAGGACATACAAAATTCGCTGATAAGGCAGAATGCAAACAACGATACATGGCTGTCAACTTACACAGTCTGTCCCAGATCCAATGAGACTGGTCTAAAAAAAATACAAAGCGTTTATTATTTTGATTTTTTATTCTTGTTTATTCAAAATAGTCTCCTCCTGAGTCAATACAGCGCTGGAAACGTTCAACAAATTTTTCAAAACATTTTTTATACTCATCGGCTGGAATGGCCTTTAGTATGGCGGTCGAAGTCTTTTGGATGATGGGGATTCCCGAAGGAATCCGGCAAGCATGTCAGCCATTGTAACTGGTGATGAAACGTGGTGTTTTCAATACGAGCCGAAAACAAAGCGTCAGAGTGCGGCATGGAAGTCACCAGAAGAGCCAAAAGAGAAAAAATTACGCTTTCAGAAGAGCAAAATCAAGACAATGCTGACCGTTTTCTTCGATTCAAAGGGAATTGTTCACAGTGAATTCGTCCCAGAAGGTCAGACGGTGAACGCAGAATATTATCTGGAAGTCCTATAACGATTGTGGGCCAGAATTCGACGAGTTCGACCGGAATATCGAGAGCCAGGCAGTTGGTTTTTGTTGCACGATAATGCACCGTCGCACAAAGCCATCATGATACGTGAATTCTTGACCAAAAAAGGCATCATTGTTATCGATCATCCACCGTATTCACTTGATTTGGCTCCTTGCGACTTCTGGCTATTTCCCAAACTGAAATTGGCGATGAAAGGAAATCGTTTCGATACCATCCCGGTCATCCAAAAGACTTCGACCGCCATACTAAAGGCCATTCTAGCCGATGAGTATAAAAAATGTTTCGAAAAATTTGTTGAACGTTTCCAGCGCTGTATTGACTCAGAAGGAGACTATTTTGAATAAACAAGAATAAAAAATCAAAATAATAAATGCTTTGTATTTTTTTTAGACCAGTCTCATTGGATCTAGGACAGACTGTGTAAGACTTGTGTAGTTTATTGCAAGTTTATTATTTCCCACAAGTTTTTCTTTGCCATAAGTATCTCAATTTTATTAAAGCTTTTACTTGTGTCCAGTTTTTATTACATGTAGGTGTCAGTACTTTACGTACAATCGGTCTTGACATAATTGTTGTGCATTTGTTAAACAATGTTTGCGGCGTATCTGTCTACTGCTGAGCCTTCTGAAACTGAGACATGAAATTTCTAAATAATTTGCTTTCCTTTCATGTAAAACAATATAGCAAAAAACATACACAATATAACACGTTAAGATAATTTAAAATATAAATAATATTAAAAAAAATTAAAACAAATTCATGGCAGATATCGACCGCTATTTATATTAATATTAAAAAAAAAACGAACAGAAAATAGAACAAAATATATTTTTGATGTTAATTCACTAATAAAAGCTATAGTTAGATCAGAGCTCGGCAAAAAATACACGCGACGGCCGATTTTCGACTATCTCCGCCCACCGCTGTTCCCTTTACCTCGCCACTCCGCATGCTGCCTACAAGCCGCTCGAGCCTCAGGAGCGTGTTTCCAACAGTTTTCCACGTCATCCATGAGGTACTATTGGTGACGCGTTTTATTTTAAGTGGTATCCCCAGTAGGCCTAATCTATAATTCTATAATCTATAATCTATAATCTATAATTTTTGAAAATGAAGTTTATAAAAAATGAGAAGCGTTCTTCTTTAAGCGACGATTCCTTACCACGTCTTATGCGGCTCGCTACATGCAATATGAAAATTGACGTTTCCGCTCTTACTAATAAAAGACGCCGAAAATCGAATTAAATATTCTTCATTTAACATATTTTATTTCGCTTCTGTTCAATTAGTTACGGGTTGTTACAGTCATCAGTGGATTAGGCCTACTGGGGATACCACTTAAAAAAAAAACGCGTCAACAATAGTACCTCATGGGTGACGTGGAAAACTGTTGGAAACACGCTCCTGAGGCTCGAGCGGTTCGTAGGCAGCATGCGGAGTGGCGAGGTAAAGGGAACAGTGGTGGGCGGAGATAGTCGAAAATCGGCCGTCGCGTGCGTTTTTTGCCGAGCTCTGAGTTAGATTCATCATAATTGCTGATTTTTATTTATATATATCTTACTGACAATGCCATTTCTCCAATATTGCTGCCTTTCTAAATATTTTTGAGTCAGTCTCACTAAAAAAATTGAACGAAATCGCTCCGATTCGAGTGATCTTTCACTCACTCGAATTTTCATTGTCGCTTCGGGCGAACTTTTATTTTTGCTGGAGTAATTAAATTCCAAGGAATTTGTAGGGACATAATACAATAATAATAATAATAATTATTATTATAAATATTTGGCAGAAATGATTTCTTGCTTTCAACTCCGCACTTTGCATCTCTTTGAATTAATTATTCAAGCATATACGGCGAGTAATTGTTCAAATTATTTAATTAAAAGTACTTTAAGTAAGTTCGGTACTTATTTAAGTAAGTTCGGTAATTAAAAGTACTTTAAGTAAGTTCGGTAAGCTGCACCTGTTATCGAAACATGTTATGATCTAATACATATCCATACACTTTAAACCAAGTTATGCTCAAACATCTTAAACGTGGTATATTTTTGGCCGGTATACGAAATAAAATAACACATCACTTAATAAGTCCGTAGGATGACATATAGATGACACTACTATTGACAAATCTATATGATTTTTAGGAAGTACTAACCTTCAAATGATACGTGTCAAAATTTCATGACAATCGGACGTTTAATTCACAAGTTACAGTGGTTTTAGTGACGCTACTGTTTTAATTTTGAAAAATCTGAGTTTCGTGTGTTAATAAAGCATTGCTTTTTAATGGGAAAAAATACCGTTCAAGCAAAGCAGTGGCTTGACAAGTGTTATTCGGACTCTGCTCCATCGAGACAAATGGTAGAGAAGCGGTTTGCTGATTTTAAAGGCGGCTGTACAAATACTGATGACGCTGAACGCTCTGGTCGCCCAAATTCGGCAGTTATTCCAAAAAACATAAAAAAAGTCCACAAAATAGTTTTGGCCGATCGTAAATTGAAGTTACGTGAGATAGCTGATACCATAAAGATATCAGAAGGCAGTGTATTTACCATTTTGCACGAACATTTGTCCATGAGGAAGCTCTGTTCGAAGTGGGTACCGCGTTTGCTCACAGTCAATCAAAAACAGCAACGCGTCGACGATTCAGCGGGCTGTTTGGAGCTGTTTCAGCGCAATAAAAAGGATTTTTTGATGCGGTATGTGACAATGGATGAAACATGGATCCATCACTACACTCCAAAGTCAAATCGGCAGTCAGCTGAGTGGATAGCAACCGGCGAAACCCGCCCAAAGCGACCAAAAACGCAAATGTCAGCTGCTAAGGTTTTGGCCTCCGTATTTTGGGATGCGTAAGGCATTTTATTCATTGATTACCTTAAGAAAGGAAGAACCATCAATACCGAATATTATATGATGTTATTGGTGCGTTTGAAGGAAGAAATTGCGAAGAAACGACCCCAAATGAAGAAAAAAAAGTGCTCTTTCACCAGGATAATGCACCGTGTCACAATTCACTCGCAACAATGGCAAAATTGCACGAATTGCACTTTCAATTGCTTCCCCATCCACCATATTCTCCGGAACTGGCTCCCAGCGACTACTACCTGTTTGCAGGCCTAAAAAGAATGCTCCAGGGAAAGAGATTTGGCTCCAATGAAGAAGTGATTGCCGAAACTGAAGCCTATTTTGAGGCCAAAGGCAAATCGTTCTACAAAAAAGGCATCGAAATGTTAGAGAAGCGTTGGAATCAATGTATCACTCTTGAAGGAGACTATGTAGATGAATAAAGTCAAATTTTGTCTAAAAGTTGTTGTTTTATTAGTCATCCTACGAACTTATTGAATGATGTGTTCACCGAAAAAATTTTATTCTATATATATTCTATATATGCAAAACATTTTCTTGGTCGCGGTTTCATCTTCCAACAAGACAATGATCCGAAACATCGAACAGTTAAAGTGCAGGACTGACAAGTCAATCCCCGATATAAAATAAATATTATAGAATCGTTGTGGGAAGAGCTGGAGAGACGTTTGGCAGGAAAGCGAGCTACGAATGCGGCCTAGAAATTCTCCCAATTTAAAGAAGAATGGGAAAAGAAATCCCTCAAGCTACAATCGATGCACTCATTGATTCTATACCTAGACGTTGTCAAGCTGTAATTGATGCAAAAGATTTTGCTACGAAATACTAGAGTTATTTCATTTAAATTATGAATCTGGTGCTCCTCTGCTGATATTGAAGATAATTATGGCTATTCAAAGTTTACTATTCATTTTTACGTACTTTGGACATTTGAAATGAAGTTATTTTTCCACGAGTAATTGTTCATATTATTTAATTAAAAGTATTTTGTTCGGTAAGCTGCATCTGTCATCGAAACATCTTATGATCTAATACATATCCATACATTTGTCGAGTTAAATATATTGAACTAAATATGTTGGTGATCTTTTTATACTTATCTCCCGACATCCATTATTTCACTTCGATTAATTATCTGACCTTCCTTCATGACTTTGATGAAGAGATAAACATGTTGAATCATTATTTATTATTCTCCTTCATTTAACTCTTCATATCGCGCTGTAATTAAGACCATACTTTTTTCTTTACTTCCGCTACATTTGTCATATCGGAATGCACAATACAGACGTCAAACGTTCTTATTTACCGTAAGAAATATCGACCAGCTGTTCGTCGAGGTCATTTTCAGGATATAAAAGGGTTGTGATGATGATCGTCTTCACTTCCGATTTCATCTCCGGTTTGATCCGCATCGGTCATCATCCAACATGCTGCCTCTAGTTGCTGTCTTGGTGCTCGGCGTTCTCGCGCAGCGTAAGTAGAGCTGATCGCATAATTCCACGAGACACCTGCAAAATTACTTCTTTAACGGACATGTCTCGTCTCAACTTGATTTTGAGTCGAGGTTTCGAAAGTCCGTCACTGCTGTTAAACACTGTATACCTCGGGAAAATTGTATTTCGGAAGATCGTCTGGATATTCGGTTTTCGGTGTTACGACTTTTCTGGAGATTGTTCCACCTCGTGAATTTCGAGAGAATGTGTATCTATCGCTTCACAGAGCGTTATTCTTGCATATCGCTTTGCAGAGACATTCGCGGACGAACCCGAAGCGATTGTCGGCGGCAACCATGCCAAGCTGGGTCAGTTCCCTCATCAGGTTAGCTTGAGAAACTACGGCAGCCACTTCTGCGGTGGCAGCATCATCAGTGAGAGAACCGTGATGACCGCTGCTCACTGTGTACAAGGTGTAAGCGCACACAGTTTAACAGTCCACGCCGGAACCACAACTAGCAACGGAATCGCAGGCACTTCACGCAAAGTTCAAAGGATCATACAACATCCTAAGTACGTGCATAGTTCGGCGGTCTCCTGGAACAATGATATGTGTCTACTCATCGTAAGTTGATATGCCATTTTTTTTCGAATATGCGCGGGCGAAGTTACAAAAACGATGCAACACGACTATCTCTAGCTGTAGATTTGGCTCAGAAATGTAATGTTTCAAGCACGCGATTCTAAACCCGAGCGGATTCTATTCGCTCTCTCCAATATATTATATTCCTAAAGATGTTGTCTGTTTTCCGTTTTTCGTTTACGCATTGAATGAAACACACGAAACACTTTTGTTGTTGGATACTCACGCTTTACAAGTAGAAATATTTAAAATATTATACGAATATGTAAATATATACAAATGTATATATATAAAAATGTCTACGCTTGAATTTTTGCAGAAGCGTGACGTATGATAACTTCTTTCCCATTTTGTTCCTTCAATTAAATGCTCGCTCTGTCGATTTCAGCTCGAAACGCCATTCCAATTCAACGCCAACATACAGCCCATCAGACCAGCTACCAGCACTCCTCAGTCCGGCACTTCAGCCGTCACATCCGGATGGGGTTATACGGTAGCAAATGGAAAAGTTTCGCCTAATCTTCTTTGGATACCAACTGTCATATTAGACCGCTACCAATGCCAGCAACGTTTTAGAGGCCAACCGCTCGGTGTTTCTCACATATGCATAGATAATCCAGCCGGAAAGGGCGCTTGCCAGGTAAGTATCTTTCCAGTAAATATCCATTAATAATAGCATTAATGTTATAATTTCCCACTCAATGATGTAACCGTTACATACAATGTATCGGATGAAAAGTGATAACATTTAAAATGTGGTCGATTGGACCAGAACTAAAGTCCACTTTATAATTTTGGTTTGAAGTCGCCCTCAGTGTCTATGCAGGGTGCAAATGCTGAAAGACGGAAATTAAATGTGAACATCCCGTTCTCTTTTTGTATTCTACAGGGTGACAGCGGTGGCCCGCTTGTAGCTAACGGCCAATTGGTCGGTGTCACTTCTTTTGTTGCCCCTTGTGGTCGTGGTGTGCCAGATGTCTTCTGTGATGTCGCTGCAATGAAGTCGTTTTGGCAAGCGAATATGGTATAAATAGCGGAAGTATCAACGATTCATCACAGTGACGAAAACGCAACACGTAATCGAGACATCAATCGCGATAGTTGCCTGATCCAGTCTGGTCGGTCACGCGTTCTTAGAATAAGCTAAAAAAATAAGAAAAAAACAAAGAGAAAATAGAGAAAAAATATTCTTGATGTTAATCCACTAATAAAAGCTTACTAGTTAAATTCATCGCAATTGTCGATTTTTATTTATGTATATCCTACAGACGACGATGTCATCTCCCCAACATTTGTCGTCCTTTTCAATTTTTTCGAGTCAAGCTCCACTCGAAAAATTGAACGACATCGAAGTTGCTCAGATTCGAGTGACCTTTCAGAGCCCGATCAATCCGAAATTTACTCGCTATTTGTAATGGAATCGACGCTTTACGTGTGATTATTATACGCTTGTTATTCTAAAAAAGACAAAGGCAGAATTTTTATTGTCGCTTCGAGCTATTGAACTTTCACTTTTGTTGGAGTGATTAAATTCCAAGAAATTTGTAGTGACATACACAATTCGCCGATAAGGCAGAATGCAAACGATGGCTGCCAGCTTAAAACTTGTGTAAATATTGATAACGACCATATTGTATTTAATTAAGACTTCCTCTCGATACTTGATGCTGACCTTGCCGTGTCAATACTGTGCAGTCAATAGGTGGAGAGAAATTGATTGTCTTGTAGAAAATTTCTACAGTTACGACAATTTTTATCTGACATTTATTTCGGGTGAACATTTTATTTGAGTCCCATAAAGAGAAAGATTTATATTTACTCAAAATTTTCTTACTTAAAAATTTTCTAACAAATTATCGATGTATAAAATCTGTATAAATTGAACTGCGTGTGCTATTTTTGAAAATGAATAAAAATTTCCGCCGAAACTGTACGATTCAAATGTAACGCGCGTTAAAGAAAAACGCTGGGTGATTATTGATCAAATATCATAACTTGTGACGTATGCAGGTTCAGTTCGTAGGTCGGCTGTCGGCAACACGATTAAAAGGCGATTTTGAATATTTTCATCGAATCATAAATTATACTACTCAATAATTTAGTAAGTCTACATCTACATCTCTTAAAGTCTCCTGAAAATCTTTACATCATCCAATATATTTTCTCTCCATATAAATATCTTGCGAACGTTTCTGCAGATATGGACATTTTTAGCGAGAAAGAAGCTAAGCGACAAAATCAAGATAGCTCCCTCACAGATGAGTCGCAAAGAAACAAAGAGCCCGATCAATCCGATTCGGTTTACGGTAAGAACCTGCGATTCCCGATACTTGGTTATCGCTACGAACTTCCTGACTTACCAACGAGCTACGTGCCGTCCATCACCTTGGATACAACTCTGTTGCACGTAAGACTCGACGCTAATCGACGACGACGTCAGTCCACAACGAGCGGTAGAAGCGAACTTTTTATCCTAGCTCTCGACTCGAGTCCGTTACCGAGATTTGCGCTTTGTAGATTCCCGTGTACACCCATTTGAAGATACACGACTTGAAGCCCGTGAGGCGACCGAAACCACCTTCCATCTTGTCGACGCTGCATTTGCAATTTTCGTAATTCTGTAGCAATATATCTAAATTCCCTCCGTGCACGGTAAAAGTGCCCTCTGACAAAATATCCACATTTCAGGGAACACGCTCGTAAATGTTCGAGAGAAATATCATCGACCGCGCGTGCGAGCGAGGAAGACACAGTGTCAGTCTCGTGCAACGTTCGGGATGATGCGAAAATTGACGCGCGCGGAAAATGATGATAATGACAGCTTCAAGGAGCCCGCGAGGGTTTCGCCTAAATAACGACTTACCGAAAGCGCAAAGATGTAGGCGCGGAGCATCGGGACAAACGCTGGTTGCCATTGCAACTGCTGATAATTTGCTTTGGAATAAAGTTACTCGTGAGAGAGATGACTGTCCGTTTCAATGATTCGCTGCGAGTGTTCTTTCCTTCCTTTCCGCCAATTTCCAAACGTTTCTCCTCACGTCGAGTGCAGAAAGAGCAATGCGGTGCAACGAAAAAGAGCACATCGTCTGTGAAAACCGGCTACCGGTTTTCCAATCTGAACCGTTCAATATGTCTGTTGTTATTCTGCATCTGAATAGAATTCCTATCGATAATCCAACCGCACGAACGAAACTTCAAACCTCATGTCCGATTTTTAAAGAACGTTCACCAATTTTTTCGTCCGATGAATTGGCTACACTGACGAAAACATGGAACCCGAGATGTAGGCCGTCATAGGTGCAAAAAACAGTGCTTTGCTACAGTTAGGTTATATTCAATGAAATAATTTTTTTTAATCAAATATATCGCTCCGTTATTGCCGGCTCGACAAGGGGACGAGCACCGATAGTAGTTACAACATGCGACAATGAAGAGATTCAACGAATTTCTCGCGACCTGCGTCGTGTTGCAACTACTGTGCCATGTATGCACTACACACTTGCTCATAAACGTCAAAAATCAGGTACGAGTATGTCGCACGTGCATTTGTCGCTAGGAAATAGGGGCCTTCCGTCCACGCGCAAAAATTTCATAGAAATATATCGATCCGCAAAATAATTTTGACGGTACGAATATTCCTCGTGTTAACCTCCAAAATATCTGACGTAGCATTAAATGTCCTATCTGTGATCAGTAGATACGTTCATAGTGTAACGATGAAATTTTATCGCTATGGCTTTTAACGAAATGCTCTTTCTTCGTAGGGTGGTGACATCCTTCTGGAAACAATCTCATCTAACGTCACAGAGGATGTGATTACTCTAGAATTCCAGCGTTCCGACGGTACCTTGGTTACACAACTCATTGATTTCAAAAATGTGATTATTTTAAAATTATAGAAATTCTATATTTTCAGGTCGCTTTATCGTGACTTATATTCTTGTGTGTGTGTTAACCAATTTTGTAGGAAGTTCAAGTTATAAAGGCTTTGGTGCTTGGTGAAGAGGAACGTGGACAAAACCAATATCAAGTCATGTGTTTTGTGAATCACTTTTACAAGGTAGACTTTATATCGTCTGACGCAATGTCCAAATTACGTCAGAAAAATCCGGGTACTGTGCGTGTAGCTGAAGAGGACAGAGGTCATGTCAACTATACAATGGACCTGTTCCTGGATGTTTCTCAGTCTAAGGAAATCTCAAAGCATGTTACCACACTTTGCAGTGAAGCTGCTGGATCAGCTTACACCAGAAATGATGATATTAAACAATGGATTCAAAGGCCAGGTGATCATCTGTTGAATTAATGCATCATTATATATATATATATATGTATATATATATATATAGAATATGAGATGTAATAATGCAATAATTTTTGTAATTAGGCTCCTCTGAAGAATTACTTTTGGCTGCTGTATATAACTTCACGACTATGCCGCAAACAGGCACGAACGATACGAGGTCTTTACTGGTTTCTAAATGTGCTGACACATCCAATCTCTGGGCACCTTGTACGTGTTCCCTGGAATTATGTATCGGTTGGTATCCGTGCGGTCTAAAGTTCTGCAAAGGAAAGTCTGATGGCAAAAAGATAGCTAGCACTTATCGATGCGGTATAAAGACTTGTAAAAAATGTTTCATATTCTCATATTACTCCAAGATGAAACAAAACTGTCTGTGGGACGAATGACATATAAGGACATTATAGATTAAAATTTCAAAGAATAAGCTGAAAATACTGAGACAACACGCTGCACTAAGATAGACCAAAAGTATTCGAATGATGAGTGAATTAATTATATTACGATTTATTTCAAAGGCTCAAAGAACAATCCAAAAAAGTATTCTATAACATTAAAATGTGAAGAAACGTGAGAATGGATAGAGCGAAACGAAATTTTTAACATTTTTTGTCAATTGAAATTTATAATTATTCCTGAATTCGTTAATTTAATATTAAATTTAATGAATATATTTTAGACAATTAATATTTTATTAATTTTCTTTCTAGAAATTTACTTGGATATATTGGGTGAAAAGAAATGTTATGTTATCTTTTACACATATTTTTTTAGGTATAATTGAAGCCAAAGCAAATCAAGCAAAAGTATTTTTGCAAGATTAGTAGACTTACTACTGTTTAAAAAGAATATAGCAATAAATTGATACTTTAAAGGGATTTTAGGGAGATAGAATTTACAATTTTAACTGTAGGTATAGATTTCAGTCGGACAGCCTTCATACTCAATTATGTAGACTTGATTGAGTGGATATTTGTAACATTTACAACTTCTTTCGCATAATTTGCACGAAAACTTTTTTTCATAGTCCAATACATTCCAATATTTGTAATAAAATATTTCGACTGTTACCATTTTTAATTCTACTTTTGTAGAATTTACTGTTTTATAGAAAATTTAGGCCACCTTGTGTCGCAAAATGCGCGCATATATGTATATATATATATATATATATATATATATATATATATACATATATAAATAACGTTGTTCTCGCAATCAACAGTTACATTCTTAAAAAAAGAAAAGTTACCCCATAGATATCTTCACTTACATTGAATTCACTCAACATTCCTACCATTATATTATTTACATCTACAAGAGAGAAATACAATCATTCCACTTGTATAATCGCCGATTGATATGGCATGTTACAAATAATCCATTCACAATACAGAGATATTCTTTATTTCTCAAGACAGGAGTAAATCTCGAGAGATCAGTTGTGTGCGTAGACAATTTTATACATAACTTGTAAAGCTGCCATTTATACATTGTACGTGTGTATATTATATGTTCCAATTGTACATAATACAGGCACACATCCATATACACATAATACACATAGGCACACATACACATATGGATGCGCAAATAACGATGAATGTTTAACGATGATTTAAGCGTGTACATATAAAATTCGTGTTAATAAGATCGAGGAGATGTTGTACAGTCTGCGTAAGATTTGCCGTGTGAGACTTTATAAGAGTATTATCGATTTATATGAACACTATAGGTATATCTACGATTTGTAAAACGAGTGTCTTTGCACGTTTCAATGACGATGATGAGTGTATACCTAGCGAATTCGCCGCGAACAAGACTGCAAAATCTGTCCATTTAGACGTTTTCCTCCGGCCGGTCCGAGCGCCGTCGGAGTTCCCTGAAATCCTCGCTCACTGTATGTGTACACGCATTGCATTTACAGGAAACGAGAATCGTTAGGAGCGAGGGGATATACATACGTATACTTACGCTTGTAATAACACGGTGTTTACGAGACGTTTACCACGTGAAGTATCTAGCGGTATTCGGTGTCGTTTATAGTCAGCAACCACTGCAAAGTAACATGTACGACGGCGAAAATGTACTCGGCACGGTTCCTCGACGGACCTCGTCGACCCTGTTGTCGCGTTTCCTATAGTCGATCGCTGTGAGCGCAAAAATCTCGACCGGAGGAGACACGATGAGAAACGAGTGCGTCGAGGAGTCTTTAGTGTACTCCTTGTGTCTTCGTCTACGATACTCGATGAAGCGCTTCGGTCTCCGCACAGCAGAATCTACATCGTTCGTCCGGTCAATTGTTTTCACCGTGCCATCGAAGCGGTGCCACCGACCCGGACCCCGAGATGTAATCCTGTAATCCTTAATATTTATTTCGTTAAGTTGTCGCACACGTGCGTACGCACTTACACTCGTGAATCGGTTCGCCCGCTCCGTGCCCAGTGACCGCTGTGGATTACATGTTGAAAATATTTTTTAATGTGAGATATATACGACGTTTTTTCAAAGCGCTACCGTAATCTTAGGGCGGAAATGAGCGGGGTCGGGAAGTGACGCGTTACTTGTACTTTCCTCGCAACAGCGTTATTTTTCTTCTTTCTCGTTAGTAACGACAACGAATAACGCAGTTATTTCTTTGACATATAATTGTTACTTTATGCACGTGAAGTATATGCGTATGCGAGATGGACGGCAGCGAGTGGACTCGTAAGAGTCTTGGTGATGAATTACTTTCAAAACAAGAAAAAAAAATTCCCAATCCTCTGGCAGCGATTTTTAAGATATCTCTCTTCGCAAGAGATTCGAGTATACCGAAACGCACCGAATGATACCGAGCATGCCGCTTTGGTTTTTTTCTATAAATTCGACGCGCACAAGTTGGCAAGGCGCAGTTTGAAGAGACCATTTTTTTGAAACGAATCAAGAAGCGCGCAATTCTCACTGAATGAGTTTTTCTCATGTTAAAGTATCCACTTTGTTGTCTTTTTCTCGTTCGATCGCTACTTCATCCCGGCTTCGTTGCGAACGGATTAATAAATTTGTATTGAAGGATGTTACTTGTGTATACACATCGTATCGGTAAAGCAACGTGAACGTCGCACAACTCGATAAGATATGTACGCGTAAATCGATGGGGATTAATATATAATGAAATGTAACGAGTTGAATTCGCAAATAGCAATATATGGTTTGTATAGAAGTGTGTGTACATAGATTCACGGAGGACCTCCGGAGAGTTTTAAATGTCCCACATCGGCACGTGTTGTTTTCTTAAAGCTGACCGTTTCAATTACGGTATAGCGACTTTACGTACATGATCGATGAAAGAAGGAGCAGAGAAAAACAAGAAAGTGCGAAAGGGCGACTGTGCAATAAGAGTTTTCATATGGTCCAAGCCACTAACTGTAACTATATGTTTATAGTAATTTATTTAACGCTCACTTCCCCCACGTGCCTGTGGTTTAATTAATGAGCGATGCTGTATATTTATTTGGTAAAACTCTCTTTTCTCGTGTACACCGTATAGTCACATGCGAGATCTAGCGCAAGAAACGATGGATTGCGTACACCGGGAAACGAGAGAGGTATATTCTTCGATGTTTAACCACACACTCCCTTTGTATTCGACCCTCGATTGATGTCATTTATGGGTACCGACATTACGTATGATTTCAGCTTTACACACGACGTTGTAACTTATACACATATTTTTTATATATATTTAATAAAAAGAATTAATATACATACATGTGTGTGCTTTAATGGTGCGCGATTCTCGGAACGGTACTCCTGGTAGGTCACTTTAGTGTGTATGCTAAAATTTACTTGCATAACATATTGCTTGAGAAAAAGTGTTTACCCCTCATGCGTAAGAATTCGCTAAGATAACTTTATCGGATGTCTCAATCTGTCCCTTCAGCGGGGATTTCTATTTTGACTGAAAGTGTACGAATATATGGACGTTAGCGTATATAATGTTCGTACAGCATATATGCATGCGTGTAATGTACGCGCATGTACGCGCAACGTCTACCATATGTGTGCTACGTATGCCATAAAAGTAAAATGATACATAACAATGCAGGAGATTCTTTAATTGCAAATTATATGTCGTTAGTGGTGGGATAACCTTGTTTGAGAAACATCTGCAAACGAATGTTTGTTCGTAATCGGTTCTATTAAGTACGATACATTAATAATAATAATGATATAATTATATTAATAATGTTAATTATTAATAGTAAATATAATAATAGCAATGATAATAGTAATAATAATTTAGTTCGTAACCCAAAAAATCTTTACATGTCTCTATGTGTGCGTCAAAGAGATATTTTGCACCTTTCGCAATTCCAAGTGGGATTAGCGCGCGAAAGTATCGCATTGCTGAGAATGAGAATAAAATTTATCTACAATAGCAACGAGTATACAACGGGCATAACTTGAGAATGCGACAATTAAGAGAAAATTTTCCGACAACCAGAGTCCAACGTTAAGAATGAAAAGAGGAAACAGCCGATTATATATCCCTCGGCTATCTCGATGCAAACGCGAGAACTTGCCGGTGCAAAACATTCTCCGATATGCGAGAAAGTTTTCTAAAATAATAGAGAAGAAAGATTCATTCGATAACATAAAAATTTAATATCTCTTGCTATGATATCCGTGCTACTATATTATCTTTGATAATGAGACTACAGAAGTGATGCGTCTACGTGAGTATACAATCTCTGTAATTTTATGCTACACTATATCAGCCGTGCACCATGAGCCGTCTGCCGCTATAAAGATCTCTCGTGTAACCGCGTTCCTATTCATGTCAAAAAGAAAAGAAGAAAAAAAAAAGATTTACACTTATGACATTTATTTGGCAAAATATCTCGTCGTTGAAAGAGACGTTCCGATAGAACAGAATTTCCACTGCACAACGAAATTCGACGACATCCTCGGCCAGTATTTACATCAGGCGGCTTAGTCGTAGTGAACAGTACTGTAATAATATCTTGCGATAACATGATAAAGTAATCTTTCTTTCCGTCTATTGCGATTCCTCCCGCTGCAGCGTAGGCACGTCGGGCGAGAAAAATCTCCCGACTCGCATTTAGCATAATTCCAGCCTAACTGAAATTCATAAGAGATCGTGCTTATATTATACACATGAGATACTCGGAGATAGAGTTACACCGCATAACGGTGTGTTCCGGCGGATAAAACCGCAACCGAACGACGCTCTCTGTCTCTCTCTCTCTCTCTCTCTCTCTCTCTCTCTCTCTCTCTCTCTCTCTCTCTCTCTCTCTTTCTCTCTCTCTTTCTCTCTCTCTCTCTCTCTCTCTCTCTCTCTCGCCGTAATGGAACGAATCGAGTCGCGCGAACGGGATAATTACCGTTCGCTCGCGTTCGCGGAAAGATCCCGTGTCGCAGGGATCCGTTTCCGCGCGTTAACGAGAGAGCAGCGCACACACATACACACATACAGACGTACCTTTCTCTCCTATCGCGACAAAACTACTAACACTCTGTGACGTATTTCGGGCCAGGGAGGGACGGTAGCACCAGACACGATGACGTAAGAAGACGCGCTATTACGCTCACACGCGTAAGCCCTTCCTCCCGATCGCGCTCGAGAAAGAAACACGACGAGTCCCCGAAATGCTCGAACACATCCGGTAGCAGTCGTGCGTTCGAGTGGAACCGACCGTCCGTACACTAGAGAAAGAGACACTAGCTGCTGTAACAGGTCTTGCGTACGTCCGCGAGTATAACACTGAAATCGTCGTCGGCCTTGGCCACATGTTCCATGTTCTGCGTCTGCTGCGGCTGCTGTTGATGCTGCTGCGAGGCCGGGTGCTCCGGGTACTTGGACACGTCCAAGCTCTGGTGGTACTGCTCGGCCATGGTGTGGCCGAGGCTGACGTTGGCGCAACGAGTGTCCTTGCCTTGATCGTCTACGATACACTGGGGGTTCGAAATGTCCAATTGCGACTGCTGCTGCTGCTGCTGCTGCTGTTGCTGTTGCTGCTGCTGCGGAGCTCCGTAATAGCGCAGATCGCTGGCGTAGTTGTGATTGCTGTCCAGCATACTCTGCGAAGACAGGCTGGAGTGCGCCACGCTCGTCGGATGGGGATACTTGAAATACTTTTCCAGCTGCTGCTGATCGTCCTCCGGCACGGTTATACCGGAATCGATGTGGCCGAGGATCGAGTGCTGTTGCTGTTGTTGTTGTTGCTGTTGTTGCTGCTGCTGTTGCTGCTGCTGTTGCTGCTGTTGTTGCTGCTGCTGCTGCTGCTGCTGCTGCTGCTGCTGCTGCTGAGCGTTGCCGGACGTATCTGTCTGGTACTCCGGGTGATGAGGCATTTGGTATCTGTGCGTCACACCTGCAAGAGATTTCTCATTGACGATGGAACACGGTCGTGTTACCCCGGGTCTTCCGCCCCGAGCACGGCGAGATCGATTATTTACGGAGTTGGGGAAAAGCTGTTCTCTCTTCCTTTCTCTGCTGTTTAAATGAGTAAAATTAACTGAGAAAAATGAGTCGCTACATACCGTTAGCATGATTCATTTCGAAAAGTGAACTCATTCGGATATAAACGATATACGAGCGAGAAGAACGTTTACCGGAACAGCTTTCGGCGGGCCCGCGGATTCCTATGGATTGCTGCCGATTGCCACACTGGACCGGCGTGTAATTGCTCTCGACGGTGGACTGCATCGAATAGCTCGCGCTCTTGGAGGATTGTGTGCCGCTGTAATGCTGCAACGATTGATCGTGCGGCGAAGCGACCGGCGGATAAAACGTGCCCGTGACGGAGCCGACGTTGTCGAAACCGGAGCGCAGCTTATTGCACGACACCATCATACCGTTCGCTATACCCACCGCGGCTATACTCGTCGACTGTCTCTCGAAGTTCAAGTAACTCACCTGAGCAGACAGGATATAATGATAATGACTCGACGTTTTTGCACCGGACTAATTGTACGAGGCAATTTAGAAAACAATAAAAAAGAAAGGGAGCACTTTTCGTGCTGCTCTACATTTCTCAGAGTGAAGTCACTCAGGATCGGGAGGTTCCCCTCAAACGTCTTCAAGCATTCTAACTACGTAACGAAATTATTAGTCTCTCTCTCTCTGTACTTTTGGAAGGTTTCTTGGAAGGAGATCCACACACTCTGTTTGAATGAAAAGTCGCTCGAATCGTCGAGCGACTCGGTCTGTCGTCGCTTTGCTTTTCAAGCGGCATTTCATTCACCCACGAAGGAATTTGAAGAACTACCATCGTCGTTCGTAAAGTCGCGACTTGTTGCGTACATACATATACGTACGGATTTTTTATACGTCAAAGTGTCCGTATAACCGCCGGAATTCTGACACGACGATATGCTAGTGCTACCAGCATGACCCGTGTGCAATTGACTGTCGTTGCTCATGAACGTGTATCGCTTCGTTTGGTCCGTCATGTCGCCGTGCTGCTTCGAGGTGCCCTCCATCAGGTCTCGCTCCGGGTCCGGATTTTGGCTGGACGGTAGATGACCGCCGTCGCCTGGTCAGTGCAAATTATGCTCGACATCACAATTTTCCATATTCCATGTTATTTAATATTCGTTAATTACTTGCTCTTCTCTAGTCTTCAAGCCGAGGGGAATTATCCGTACGCGGATTATTAACCCCTTCCACACTGCATCGAGCCGCCGCCATTAAGGTATTTCTTCTGCCCGGTATACAATTCGAAACGCTTACTCGAGAATTCTCAGAGATACTCTTGCGTAACGCTCGTCAACGATGACGTCATACACTTTTCGACCGATCAAAATTTACAGCGTGACGCTCATGTCGGAAGGGGTTAACCCGAACCCGTGAATTTTCAAGCGCGTGTTACGTAACGAAAGAAGAAGGAAAATTCCTCCTCTCTTTCTCCCGTTTTTTTTTTTCCATCCGTCCGATCGGGTGTCGGTAGAGCGTTTCAAAGACTTTTACCGTCAGGCTCAGGACTGGCCACTGGAGATATGTCCGGGGTGTGGATGATGGGGGTGTAAGGGCTGCCGTAGAGCGAATTATTTTCCGATTTGTACTCCTGGATACTCTGCTGCTGCTGCTGCTGCTGTTGATGATACAGGGATGAAATCGGGGAGTGGCCACCCCACGGGATCTGAGGTATGCCCTGGTAACTGTCCATCTTGGACCTTGAATCGCATCGTGCATACATTTAACACTTATATAATGGCGTGCGACGTTATCGCCTAATTACACTGCGACGTCGCCGCCGGTGACGACGACGACGACGTCGCGCATCTTTCTGCGCGCGACTCATGGTTGTAATTTTAACGCGACGCGACCTATCAACTTTCAACACCGCATGATCTCCGTGACTCAGACTCCGTCTCTCAGGTGGTAATTCCGGTGGAAGTCTCCTTCGAATTGACCGAGAGACATCGACTCGAATAAAAAACAAACGATAAATAAAGAGGAGCAACTTCCGATGTGTGAATCTCTTTACTACGTCCTGCGGGAAAATTTTTATATCGGTATTATATCGTTTTATAACGTATTATATCGCATTAGCGAGCGCGATAATGACTTCATTATTATACGCATACGCAATGAAACGCCGCTACGTTTGTCTTTGGACGATGAAAAAATATGATTGGCGCCGAAATCGATTCTCGCAGAGAAATTGACATCTCTTTCGCACAGGATTGAGGGAAAGGGAGGAAGGAAATCGACTTGGCGACCGATCGGCAAACTTGTCATCACGAGCGCGGCTGGAGTGCGAAGGCGCACCCTTTATCGCGTCTGAGCGGAAAATTTAAACGTCCAATCTAATCTCCGAGAGGCGTAACGGTAATCGTAGTCGCATCGAAATCACGGTGTCATCGTCACGGCGCTTCGCTTAAATCGCTCGGCAGGATCTCTCAATTAGCTCGGAGTTACTCGGCTCGCATGCGCATGCGTACCTTCATTAGTCGCGGAAGTATGGGCTAGTATCGACTTACATGGAATGATGAATCGTCGGGCCCGCGGGGTTGGACCTGTTGCCCGCGGTGTTGGTCGCGGAGGGAGGCGAGGACGGTGCACCGGGTGTCCGTTTCGCGTGCTTCCTACGCCGCGGCCTGTACTTGTAGTTCGGGTGTTCCTGCATGTGTATGACCCTGAGCCTCTCGGCCTCTTCGACGTAGGGCCTTCTGTCCTGCGGTGTCAGCCCTCGCCACTTCTTTCCTGGAGAAGCCCGTACGGAGAGAATACCCCGGTGTAAAATGTGAAGCACGCTCACGCGGAAAGTCGCGGAAAGAAAGAAAAAAAAAGGGGTGGAAGAAGAAGGCCGGTTGGGCCGCAAGGGTTGCAAGGAAATATTTTGAGACATTCGAAGCTACAACTCGACTCGTTTGAAGCTTCAAAGCTGAATCTTCAAAGTCTACTCGAGGACTCGCGATATCAAAGTTCTTCGTGGTAATTCGCACGGCATAAGATCCTGTGCGATTAGTATCGAGTTCGAGTTATTAGCTCGCTTCGAGGAAGCGAAGCTTCAGACTTGATTCGTAGATAGAATAACAGAAACGACGACGTGCGCGAGGCGCGATTGGAGCGATACACGGGATATATGTAGCGGGGATTCTTACCGTCGTTCTCCTGGAACTTCCTGCGCCGCATGAACAGTCAAGACATAAAGGATATAATGTAAAACGATGTTGGTCAGTGCGCGAGGATTATTAAGGCAAACGCGCCTTATCTACCAGCGGTTAGAGCCGCTTGAGAGCGTGCTGTACGAATCCTACGTAACCGTATAACGCAATTAACATATAAATTAAATTAGCTTTCCTCAGATTAATCGAGGATCGATCGAGTGACCGTGAATTCAACAGGCGGAGAGGATCTCGCGAAGCAAACCGCGTGCCTAAAAGAAGACGCCTGTACCTTTTACAACACATCTCTCGCCGAGCCTCGGACGAAGGCGACCAAGAAACTGTGTGTACTTCAAATCAATTAACGAGCAACATTTGTTTTCTTCCTCGCGATTTCCATCGGGAGTTGTTCCCCATGGACTCGTCCGGAAACGTCGACGGCGCGGGAGGCGTCGACAACGTTTCCTCTTGTCACGAGGGGATCCGCGAGGTCGCGTTCGCGAATGAACCCGATGAATTGTCCTCCCGATCCCGATCCCGGGAGGATTAACGTTACCTCGTATAGCCTCGATAGCCCGAAACCTGATAAAATCGTCGGTCGATCCCTTTGGCTAACGACGCGCTTAATTCGGCTCGCGAGCGCGGCCCTATATCGCGGCAACAAACGATACGCGGCGCAAAACGAGCGCAGAAATCCTCTCTCTCTCTCTCTCTCTCTCTCTCTCTCTCTCTCTCTCTGTCTCTCTCTCTCTCGCTCTCGCTCTCTCTTCCTTTTCCTCCGCCGCCGGTACAACACACACAACGTACGTACTACAGGTGGGCTTGGTCGGCCGGGTCTGACGACCGGCTGGAATCTGCCTCAGTTGCGTTCAATATGCCAACATGGTAGGCCGGAATATCATTAAGCGAGGCATAAGGGTTAATACGAACGTAAGATGTTCGCGACAAGAAGGAAAAAATTGAGCGCGAGGCGGATGTATATATGGCGTGCGGCGTACATATGTACCACACGGGCCACGCCGGTACATACTACGGGGTGTGTATATGCGCGCACACACACGCGTGTACGTACACACACACACACACACACACACACATGCATATAGGCACATGTGCACGTGTACATACGCATACGGTCTGTATAGGTATATAGACGCATGGGGGCGTAGATATGGGTGCGCCCGTGCCTTCAGCCAGCCACAAGGCACGAATCATTATTTCATATTTCATTTTGTGTATTTCAACTCTGGAGGAGAGACGTTAACCCAAGGGAGGAGGAGGAGGAAGAGGAGGAGGAAGAGGAGGATGGAGGGCGGAAATAAGAGGAAAAACGAGCAAATCGGTCGTCGCAGAAATCGCTGTCGAAATCGTGCCTTTGCGTGCGCGCGCGAAATCGCTTCTCATGAGCGCGGCAGTGTCTTCTTCTTTATTTATTCCCTCGACAGACGTCCGTGATCCTTCGCGACAACCGCACGAGGAACGCACATTTCCGTAGGGTCTGCCGAGTCTCGCGCGCGGGAGGGTCCCCGTCGCTTTTGTCACACCCGACCGTGTGCTCGGCGACTTCTTATTTCACTCGTGTTCCGGCCACGCTTCGTCTCTCGTATAGGGCAGAAAAAATGTCGGTGGTCTCTCGTGTTGAGCGAACGAAGCCACCAGACGAAAACCCGCTGACGAGGAACGGATCGTTGAAACTCGGTCGATCCGCTCGAGTCGTCGGGTGATTCGAAAAGTGCGTCCACATCACGCTGACTCGTTTTCTCGCTAGGCCGACGAAATCGAGTCGAATAAAACGGATCGAGAGCGGAAATTCAGTCACACGATCTTTCTTTGCGAATGTTTCTCGACACGCTCTCCACGTGGTGAACTCTTGCGGAATACGCATCGCAACGCGCATTTAGCAGCAGTTGGCTCTCATAGGCCGGGAGTTAAGTTGTAAGTTTGATTTTCTCCTTTCTCCGTGCAGGAAGATCGAGCGGCACGACGGCGAAGGAAGAAGAGAGCGAGCCAGAGAGAGAGAGAGAGAGAGAGAGAGAGAGAGAGAGAGAGAGAGAGGCTTTTTAAAGAGAGGCAACAATAACTAAACTCAATTTTAATATTCCCGAGCGCGCTCTCGCGCGTGCGCGAGCACGAGCGGTGAGTTATCCGGCGGTGATTCATCATCACACCCGCGCACGCAGCGTCCCACCGTGATGTCCTCGTTAAGTATTCTAATGGCTAACGTGTACCTCTAATTTAGCCGGCTAGGCCGGGGCCTAGTCGGACGACTTCATTAATTTCGATGTTTCCGAGCAAAAGCGGCCCGACGACGTAGGATTTGGGAGCGTCCTGCCCTCGCGGCGGTCCAGCAGTCGGAGGAGCTTTTTGTCCGCTGTACGATCCTTCCGTGTCTCGTGCATGAAACGAAACAACGAGTGGATGCACCGCGATGTTTCTTACTCCCTTTCTCTCTTCCTCTCTCTTCCTCTCTCTCTCTCTCTCTCTCTCTCTCTCTCTCTCTCTCACTCTCTCCGTCTCTCAACTCCGCGCGGAATACGAACGAGCGCGCGGATCGCCAGCGAATCTCTCGATTACGTTCTTTCGTGGGACATTTAGAACGGCGAAGCGCCGTCCCGAATATGCGCTAATAGCGTTCTCCATAGCTTTCAATCGATTCACGCACGCAGTCGGGATCGCCCCGCTCGTATCCATCGAGAATAGATCCGTGCCGGAGAGAGAGAGAGAGAGAGAGAGAGAGAGAGAGAGAGAGAGATAGAGAGAGAGAGTATAAATTAGCGACGAGCACGGCGGCGACAAATTACGGAGACTCGTCTCTCGAGATCGTGGTTGCGCCGAACGCACGCGAAATCGCACGTATCAAAAGGTCCTAATCGACCGTTCGTCGTGCGAAAGAGAGAAAGAGAGGGAGGGACGCGACCGTCCCCATTGCATCTCCCCGAGCCGTTGACATTTTCCAGAAAGCTCGTTCGTTCTACCGCCTAATTAACGATTCCGCGGTGATTTACGCACGCGCCCGTCGGTAATTCACTCGAACGGCGATTAAACTTCGCCGCCTTCGAGAGAGCCAGAGAGGTCTGGCTCTTTCTCTCTCTCTCTCTCTTTCTCTCTCTCTCTCTCTCTCTCTCTCTCTCTCTCTCTCTCTCGTGGCCGTGCTGCTCACAAAGATACATACAGCCAGCTATAGCTCGGGAATTTTGTTATGGTCTCGCGGGTGCAGGCGCAGACAGACGCTCCGCGACCTGGCACGTGACATTTTCAGAATCGAGCGAGAAACTTCTCGCTCTCCGCGGCATTTAGAATATAACCGTCGCGGACTTGGCGCGCGCGCGCGCGCGCGGCCGTTTCGCGGCTTTAATTACGCGGATAGCCGATAAATCCTCGACTGGAATGGATTGAAATACTTGCGCTCGCCGGCCGGATAGCCGCGCGCGCGCGTGGTAGCTCTCATAAAGCGCGGTGTCAAGTTCGCTCGTAAATCTGTCCCGGCCGTTGCGCGAGACCGAGCGTTCGACGTCGCGCAGCGACACGACGAGCCCGAGACGAGAGCGGGACGTTGCGTTGACGCCCGTTTTCCCCGTGGAAAGCATCCGGAAAAGAAGCGAGCCCGCGGTTCCGCGGTCGGAAGGTGCGTCCACGTGCGACACGACACGCGCGTCAACAAAGACGAACATCGGGACCGGACTGAGACTTGACAATTGCTCGACGAACGGTCGACGCAAATTGCAGCGACTCGTCTCTTTTCGCTTTCGGAGAATGATAACGTGGATTGGTGTCCAGTGGAGTGTTATTTCTCCGAGGCACCGAGGAAGTAACGCGGCGCGTTGGCGATAAAATCGTCAGTCTGCTCTCTCGCGAACGACGGATAGACGACGGCGGCGGATGGACGCGGCGTCGCGGCGATTGTAGGCAACGGCGGCTCTCTGCAGCGACGGAAAAGACCGAAGAGCGCAGAGGTAGGAGGGAAGAGGAAGAAGATGGCCAAAGCGAGGCCCACATCGGTGGGACCGCATCGCGCACCCCGCCCAACCTGGGTCGCCCACTGTCACCATTAATAATACGTCTCCCGTCCCGTGATGTATCTCATCTCCCTCGGCGCTGTGTGCGTGCGTGTGTGCGTGCGTGTGCGTACGCGAGCGCACGGCGCGTTCACCTGTACAGATGCACCGCGATGCACCGACGCGCAAGGCGCGTGATCTGGGAGGGGTCGCGACGAGGTCGCGACGCGCGTGTGTCACGAAAGCTGCTCGTTGGCTCCGCACGGCGAGTTTTCGGCGGAAACTCTGCGGTGGAAATTCGGCGACCGGACACGTTGACGACGACGTTGACACGTCGAGCGACGAGAAGGGAAGGTGGCACTGTGATATCACTACAGTCTCATCAAGTTGCTCATAATTTCTTTATTTGTTTCGTCATTAAATCCTCTTTGCGCAACTTGATACATACACTGAGAAAAAGTTGTATTGAAATTAAACAAATATTTGTTCGAATACGACTGTGAATACGTTTATTTAAATTAAGCAATTATTTTCTAAAATTCAAGAAAGGAGTTTACATTCAGGGAGAGAGAGAGCGAGAGAGAGCGAGAGAGAGCGAGAG